ATATAGCCCATAATGAAACCTAATGTTAGGTCAGAGAATGATGATTCTAGCGGCTACCATTCTCGAAGTAATGAGGTTCAAAGATCTGAGGCCAATGGCCAAAATCAAGAGAACTGTCGATGAATTGAAAAAAACACTTGATCCATGATACGTAGCATCCATTTTCATCTGCGAACAACAAGTTTCTGCTTTCTAAATCTTATGGTCAAACAATGCGTTCGGTTTAACTGAAAATCGAAATTATCGGTTTTCCAGAAAACTTTGAATTTTATTTCTTAAAATAATCACATTTTCTGGTTGATAGTCTAAATTTACACAAAATAAAATAAGTTTCATGCAAAAATGTGCTTCCATAATGGAGAAAAACGCGCTCGAAATCTTTAATTCAACCTCGATTTCCACGTAAACTATCGGTCTGAGAAACTTTTTGATAAGATTTATGGACTTAGCTTTCATGTCTCTAACAACCCACAAAGTTTTCAACTCTTGGGTCGAAAGCATAAGCTTTCCAATCAAAGACAAAATACTAAAATTGGCTCTGGCTGAATTTTTTACGCTGCAATCAAATACTAGGCAAATATTGAAACCTAGAAGGCAAGATTTCAAAGGTTTGCATTGACTTGAATATGTAATTTACTGATGTTAATTAAAGAATAATTATAGAATACTGATCTTAACTATCAAACAATACATTAATTGCAATTTTAGTTGACCAATTTACTTTTTATTAATAGCATCCAGCATAAAATATATAACTTGCATTTACAAGTGTTAAAACACGCAAAAGACTAATTTACTGCATATATGAGTTAGTACTTTGTCTTTGACTTTAATGCTTTGTGGGTTTTTAGTGACATGCAAATCGAATCCATAAGTGTCAATAAAAACTTCCTCAGATCGATAGTTTCCGAGAAAATCGAGATCAAATTTGAAACTTCGATCGCGTTTTATTCAATTATCAAAGTAGATTTTTTAATGAAAAGCATTTCACTAGTTTCCCTTTTTATGATCAATCAGAAAATGCAATCATTCTAAAAAATAAAGTTCATTGTTTTATGTAAAATCGATAAGTTCGATTCTTAGAAAAACTGAGTGCTTTCAATGATCGTCAGATTTAACGTGCTCAAACGTATAATTCACTTATAAAAATCCATGGCACACATTATGGATCAAAAGTTGTCTTTAATTTACTGACAGTTCTCTTTATTTTGGACATTTACCTTAAAAATTTGAGGGTCAATATTTCGAGAATGGTTGCCCCTAGAATGACAATCTTTGACCAAACATTAGGTTTCATTATGGGCTATATTATTATATGAGTGAATGCTAAAGAAAATCTGAGCTTTTTCATTTAGCATGTTAATAATGAAATTGTTGTAACACATCATAAGATTTGTGTTTGTAAAACCATTTAGCTTTATAAGTTAAGAATAAGATCTATCATCATAAGTAATATAATGCTTTAGCCCTGTTTTGCAGGATCTTTAATGGTCAAAGATTTCGTGGTATTCTAGCACAATATGATAACTTATATTTAGTCGAAGAATGGTGATTGAGAGTGCTGCCATTGTCGAAGTAATGAGGTTCAAAGTTTTAAGTCTAATGGCCGAAATCAAGAGAACTGTTCACAAACTGAAAAAAACGTTTGATCCTCGATGTGTAACATCAATTTACGTAATTGAATAATAAGTTTGTGCTCTCTAAGTCTTACGGTCATTGAAAGAACTCAGTCCGTCTAAAAATCGAACTTATCGATTTTACATAAAACAGTGAACTTTATTTTTCAGAATGTTTACATTTTCTGGTTTTTCAAGAAAAGTGATATTTGGTGAATGCGTTTCATGCAAAAATGTGCTTCCATAATGGAGAAAAACGCGCTCGAAGTTGTTAATTTAACCTCGAATTTCACGGAAACTATCGGTCTGAGAAACTTTTTGATAGGATTTATGGATTTATCTTTTATGCTTCTAAAACCTCCTTAAGTTTTCAACTCTAAGCTCGAGCGTTGAAGCTTTAAATTCAAAGACAAAGTACTAAAATCGCTTTGTATGTAAAACAAAGCTTATTCCTTGCATTTGCAAGTGTTTAATAGACATAATAGACTCTTAATAGGCTTTAATGGACTTCATTTAGTGCTAATGTTAGAGCTAATACTCTTTCTACGAATTTAAAACTTTGTGGGCTTTAAGGGACATCAAAACTGAGTTCATACGAGTTATTAAAAAGATTCCCGAATGAACGGTTTCCGAGAAAATGGAGGCCAAATTTGAAACTTCGATTGAGTTTTGCTCAAGTATTGTAAAAGCTATTTCAATGAAACGCATCTTCCTGATGTAAATTATGATGATCTACCAGAAAATGTGATGCTTATAAAGCAAAGTATTCTCTATTTTATGCAAAACAGATAAGTTCGATTTTGAGTTGAACTGAACGCATTGCTTGGCCGTAAGATTTAAAGACTCGAAACTTATTATTTGCCGAGAAAAATCGGTGGTACACATCGAGGATCGAACTATTACCTCAATTGATCCAAAGTTCTCTGGATTTTGGCATTGGCCTTAAAACTTTGAACCTCATTGCCTCGAGAATGGCGACACTTACAAAGATAATTCTTTGACTAAACATTATGTTCCATTATGGGCTTTAACATAAGTAAATCGACTACCAAAAATCAGAGCTTATTATTTCATAGCGAACATTATGCATGCTAATATTACCTCATAAGATTTGTGTTTGAATAAACATTCACCTTTATAACCAAGAATCAGATCTTACAGCATAAGTAATAATATAATGCTTTGGCCCTGTTTTGTAAGGTCTTTATTGATCAAAGATTTCAAGATATCCTAGCACAAAATGATACCTAATATTTAGTCGAAGAATGACGATTGTAGATGCTACCATTCTCGAAGTAATCACGTTTAAAGTTTTAAGTCTAATGGCCGAAATCAAGAGGACTGTTCACAAATTGGAAAAAATGTTTGATCCTTGATGATGAACATCAATTTTCGCAACGGAATAATAAGTTTGAGCACCCTAAATATAACGGGCATTGCAAGCGCTCAGTTTTTCTAAAAATCGAACTTATCGATTTTACATTAAGAAACCAACTACATTTTCCAAAACAATTTCATTTTCTGGTTATTCGAGAAAAGTTACATCTGGTAAATGTTTTTCATGTTAAAATCTACTTCCATAATGGAATAAAACGCGCTCGAAGTTTTCAATTCGACCTCGATTTTCTCGTAAATTATTGATCTGAGAAACTTTTGGATAACCTTTATGGATTTGTTTTTCATGTCTCTAAAAACCCATATAGTTTGCAATTCTTGGCTCGAAAGTAGAAGTTTTAAAGTAAAGACAAAGTACTAAAATCGCTTTGGATGTAAAACTTATCTTATTGCTTGCATTTGCGAATGTTACAACTTTTAATAGACTCATTTACTGCTAATATGAGCTGCTAATAGTTAGAGCTAGTACTTTTTATACGAATTTAAAACTTTGTGTGGTTTAATAGGCTAACTCAGTTAAAATATCTCAATATATTTAAATTCAATTCTCTTCTTATAACTTAATTCGCAATTTTAATCTTTTAAATCATGAAAAATAACATATTTCCGGATTTTCATCAAAGTTTTATACCGTGAAAATTTACTGTAAATTTATTCAACAATCATTTGCTTAGACTAAATAATTAACACTGATTGCGAGTCTACGATTTTTGCGCTGGGATTCATTGTATTTATTTACAAAAGTTGAGATTTCCCACGGATACATATTTCCAACCATTTACATATTTAGAGTAATTATTTCCTCTTAATCCACTATTTAATAAATTGCTTTAATGGTTGCTCCTTCAAATTAACTTTAAAGGCAATATATTTCCGTAGCTGGTGGGGAGTGATCGACTTTCAAAGCAATTTAAAGCGATACAACAAACGATTGAACATACAAAATGAATTGACTACAGTTTTTTGTTTTATTAATAAATTAGTTGAATAATACCATTGACCATTTTTCAATTATTGATGACCAACTACACATTATTATCAACTCTATTAACGTTTTACTACTCCATCTTAGGACACATGTATTTCATCCATGTACATGGAATGAACTCTTCCAAATCATTGTTTGCAGCGTTTCAAGCAACAACTTTATTCTCAACTCTTTTTAGTTCCTGAATTGGTTTTATTCAATGAATTTATTATTATTTCATCTTTAGATGGTTTCGCGGTTAGAAAAGAAGCATCATTAAATCAATTTTAAAGTTAATTATTTCAAGTTAAATTACGAAATTAATTTTATTCGTCAATCATAACTTAAGAAAAGACAATTTAAATTTGAACTTTGCACGCGATCATAACGATAATGTTTGATCAGAGAAATGTTTCAACTGTACAAATGGACTCCATTTTAATGCTCCTGGAAACTCAACTATTGAAAGTGAAAGTCTTTGCTTAGATTGATTTCGAGCTCAGCTTAGTTTATGATTTAATTGTTAGCTGTTTCATGATTAAATAGAATCGAATGATTGCTTAAAAAGTGATCAGCTGACAAACTGTTTAACATCGAAACAAGCAAACACTAATTATACAATAATAACTGTTTCACATCGATTACACTCTTCATTTTCAACCGTCTACTTGATTCATTTTTAATTTTCTTTATAACAAACCTTTTAATGATCTAAACCCTCAATTTGTTAAAAATCAAATAACGTACAATTTATTGTTCGAATAAAAGTTCAATACAAAAAGATTACAAATTATTTCCGAAAACGGTTGTAAAGCCATTATTTGTTGCTAAATTTTCTCCTTCCCCTTCACAGTTGACTTGTTTAAAAAGTTCATTTATTCAAATAACTCCACTTATTGATATATTCAACGATTTCCAGTCAAAAAAGTATATTACAATAATCAGTTTATCAGATTGATATCACTTGTTCAGACTGTAGCTTATAACCTTGTTTGATTTTACATCAGATAAACAGAATTAAAATGGGCCTGAAAAACTTTGGTCTCGTCCCTGATGATCTTGTTCAAAGGATTCGTGCCAAATTTTTGGAGTGTGTTTCAGCTGATCAAGAGGACTCCTTTTATTCAGAAGATATTGAAAAGATCACCAATGAAGATTGGTACATTAAAAGGTTTGTGATTGCTGCTTATAAGAATGAAACTGAAGCATTGGATAAATTGGTAGACACAATGAAATGGAGAAAGTCGATTAAATTGCGAGAAACTGCGGATAATTATTTTCCAGCTGATTATTATGATGTTGGCGTCATGTTTCCCTATGAGGCTGATGTTCATGGAGATGCTTCGTTGTGGGTTCGAGTTGCAGCTGTTAGGAAATTCGGTGAATTTACAGAGACTGGGAAACGTTTCATGATCCATCGGTTGTTCAAAGTTGATGAAGCTGCTGGGCCTCAAGGATATGCTTTGGTCATTGATTTCACTGGAGCTGGAACAAATGCAATACAAAATCTTGATTTACTTCATCATTTCATCACAACACTTCATCATCGATTCCCTGCTGGTGTCAATTATTGTCTCAATTATCAGATTCCATGGATTTTGAAGACAGTCTGGGGTGCTGTACAATACTGGGTGCCTGAGAAGCGTCGAGACATCATTCAATTCTCATATCGAGATGATTTGTTTAAATATTTTCATTTATCTCATGTTCCAAGCTATTTGGGTGGCGATTGTAAGCGATCATGGAAAGATAAGCCTGAAAATTGTCCGACTACATTTGAGTTTGGACTTTACGAGTTAGGATTAACTGAGGAAGTTGTAACCAAAACAATTGCTGATTACGAGGCTTTCCGTGATTCTCAGATTGTTAAACTTGATCAAGGAGAATACTGTTGATATCTTTTTTTCATATTCATTTACTATTTGTTTCAATAATCATTTGCTTAAACAAAATAATTAACACTGATGCAGGGATGCATTTTATTTACAAAAGTTGAGATTTCTCGAGGATCATATTGTTAACCATTTACATATTTAGAGTTTTTATTTCCTCTTAATCCATGTTTCAATAAATTGCTTTAATGGTTGCTCCTTCAAATTAACTTGAAAGGCAATATATCGTTATTTATTTTGTCAATTGATTGGCAACCAAAGAAATGAAATTATGAATAGTGACTATTTAATTAGTTAGACACTTCTATCAGTATCCTTTATTTAGTAAAATAATTTTATTGAATTCAAACATAGATGCCCTAATGTAAATTGGTACAAAAAAGTGTATACTCTACTGTTATTAATATACAAATAAATTATTGCAATTAGCACAGTGAGCATCTGTAAGACAAGAGATCGTCACAATAATATTCATATTAGGGATCTTGGTCGAGTTGAAAACTTGAAGATGAACAAAAGAGGACCAGAATAGGAGGCGAAGGGAAGGTTAAAAAGACAAGAAGTTGACATTTACAGCATGTGAAGCATTAAGCAGTTTTACCTAAAAAAATGCAATTGCATATTGATTGATATAAATGATATGAATAACATAAATATGTAATAAGATTGCGAACATTTTTCTTTTGAGCATTGAAAAGAAAATAATTATAAATAAGTTTTGCCATTTGTAAATGCCTAGCCATTCTTAACGGATCTTAAAGTATATCTATAGAAATGGTGAATAGCCTTTAAGGATTTGATTTAGATTGAAAATTGATTTTATCATTTATACCAATATTTGCACCAACGTTTTAATTTTAAGGCAAAACTTGAATTAGATGCTGTTTTGTCAACTAACATTATCTATTACTAGATTCAAAGTTTAGTTTATATAATTGTCTTCTGCTTATGGTTTTCAAATGGTTTAAGCTCCAGCTCTTTGAATATCCGTCGACAAAAAATTGCTTTTAAAGATGGAGGTTGATCTGCTTCAGTTAAAACTGATGGATATTTAGCAACCAGAGTTTCATGAGCCCGACGATATTCACGATCAAAATAATCTAGATAAAAATGAAGAAATATTGAAGGAATTATTAAAGATGACAATTTTAAACAATTTTAAGATCAAAACTTACTTTGGTCGATGTTTTCACGACCCATCGCAACGAAGGATAAATAAAGTAGATCTCTATACATGCTATAATACTTTTTGTTTCCAGTTGCACCTTGTTTGAGTCGTTCATTGATGAGAAAGTTCATTGCACTAATCATATCGTTGCACTGAAGTGCTTTTATGATTTGTTTCATCAAATTTTGCTGGATCTTTCTTTCATCAGTGACTAACGCATGAAGCAATGATGACCGAGTTTCATCTATTCAAAGAAGAACAAGAGATTAATCATTAATAAACGTATTTTTAAACCTTTTGAAGCATTATTTTAAAAACGACAGCAATCTATAGTTACTTACTTGTTTCTTTCCATAGACCGTACATCGGTCTTTCAAAATCTTTATGTAGCTTATGATTGTCCCAAATACAATGAATTTTGACACTTCTAAAATCTAAATTTTTGTATTTATCAACATCCTGAAATGAGAAAAAAATAGATTAATATTCAAGTTTCGAAACTCGAAAAACGATAACCATTCTGAGAATTTAGAGGAATCAATATTCTATCTCACCTTTTTATCTTTCATTAATGATGTTGAATGAAGACATAGACCATGAATATGTGAAGGAAGATTAATTCTTTCAAAATACCAAAGCATGTTCCAATAGAGAATGGGATGATCGTCAACGAACTCCGGTTTAAGGACACAACTGTCGCCTTCACTTTCGAACACATTCTCAAGTTCCTTCCTCAATACTATCGGGCTGAGATATGGAACAGTAAAAGGTTCAATAGACTCGTAACTTGCACTATACTGAGTTTGATATGAAAGCTCATCATTGCATGAACTTTTGGAATTTTCATTCTCTGAAATATCTTCTTTTAACGTTTCATCTGTTTCATTTGTTTTATTATCATTATTTAAAACTTTATCCAGCGAATCCTCGATTTCTGTTTCTTCTAGTATCTGCAGAAATAATAAAAAGAGGAATGAATTAGTGGAACCAATTTGGATCAACATTAATCAAATGTAACTTACTTTCAATGAGATTGTTAATAGTGGGACAAAACGAGAGTTGCAAAAACAACATTGAGTGTTCAGGTTAGAGTCATCAGCTGACCATGATTCCATGATTTCTTCGTCGTAAAGAATAAAAGAGCAAATGTGACATCTACAGCATGACGTGATTTCAATTTCAATGACAGGAGGAGATTGATTGTTTGGTATCAAGTCTTCATGGTAATACTTTTCAATCGTTTCGAAAAGTGGCGGGTAATTATTAGATTTCTGTTGTGAGAAGGCAAAACCTACAAGATTTTGGGCTATACTTCCCTCTCTGGATCTGAGATCATCAGCACTATCAGCAATACTGTGTCTCTTGAAATCAAGTGACCGTAAGCTTTGACAATCATCATCATCATAACCAAAATTGGCAGGAATTTTTTCGGCGACTAGACTAGCGAATTGAGAAAGTAACAAGGCTGGACCACTAACTCCAGTAGAATAAGAATTCTCTTTAGATACTTTGGACGGAGAATTCGTTGCTGAAGAAGCAAGAGTATTCTTAAATCCTGTGATACGATTTGCCATTGTATTGGCAGCTGACTTGATGGTTGAATTAACTAGTTCAATGTGTTTATTAGATGCAAGTTTTGCAGTCCATGGAGAGTAACCATAACTATTTAACGATGTTTTGTCTTCATCAGTCTCATCGGAAACATTATCAGTTGAGACGACCTTCTCTTCTTGTTCATTGACCTCTTGAGAAACTTCACAAGGTGAAGATATTGAAGTTGGTGGTGCAGTTTCAGATCGAGTCATTGAAGGTTTACTGCTAACAGATTCTTCAGTTTCTTCACTTCTAGCTTTGAACAGACTATTAAATTTGCTACTTAACTTTTGCCTAACTAGACCACTGTGAGATGTATTAGTGTGAAATGTAGAGCTTCGTGTCATGGGTGGTGTTTGTTTAGAACTCGAGGTAGGCCCCACAGCTAAGCGAGTAGCAAGACGAAAACTAGAACGTAATGTTGAAGCCACTCGCCCTTCAGGGGAGAAGATACTCATGTTCATAATATGATCTTTAATAGGACTAAATGAAAAAGTCTTATCCTCTTCGTTACTATCACTATCAGATTCTTCCTCAGATTCGTCTCTAGATCCTGATTTGGATGACACTTGCTGTGATGACTGGGAATCGGGCGTTTCATTTCCTGGATTTTTATCACAAGCTGGATCTTCTTCAGGGATTTCAGTACAAGTTGTGAGACGGAACTTATCTATGCCAGACGGATCGTTTTCTGTTTGATTTTTTCCCTTGATTACTCTTTCATTTGAAGGAGAACATGAACTCTCTTTTAATGGATCATTTTTTTCCATTTCTGCTTTCAAAGCTTTAAAAGTCCCTTCTTTTAAATTGTGAATGATTCTAGCATCATTGCCAAAACTAAATGATCTGAAGTAAGACGTTCTATTTGAATCCTTGATTGGTTCACTCTTGCACTGACTTGAAGTTGATATTGGTGAAACAGGAGTGGGTTGGTTTTGATCTTCACTTTTGTGTCTTTTACGCAAACTTTGAAAGTTTTTGATAGAGAGGTTGAGAGATTCACTATTTAAAGCTGAATAACTAGTCATTAAGACTCCAGCTGGACTGTTATAGTCATCAAGATAGGAAGGACCGGATGATGAATTTCGGACAATATTACGAGTCATAGAGCGAAATTCATTTAAATTACGGTCCGCTTTGCTTTCCTTTTTGTTGACAATCTCTACTGGTTTGGTCTGGTCAATTTTGGTATCTACTGAGATTGTTGAAGTATCTAAATCAGTTTCAATATTATAAATTGAAGAGCCGTAACCGGCATCAGACTGATTTGAGCTGATTTTTTGGTGAGTGTAAAGATTTGTTACTGCTTTACTTTTCACGATAGATTCGTCAGGTGGATCAGAAAAGACATCATCTTCTTTGATTGTTTGAGGTGAAATTAAGTTTGCTTGAGCAGATTTTTTGCACTTTTTAAACTTAGCTATCCCAAGAACAACATTACGAAGTTTTGTCCACATAAGAGAAGCACTAGAATCACCTGATGGCCATTTACTCTCAAGTACAGCTTTGTTATAAAGACCATAAGTTATTGCATTCGGAGTAACTCCACAGCGACGCATTTCAGAAAGCACTTTTACAGCCAAAATAGGTTGACTATACAGTCCACAAAGAAGCATGAGTATTCTGTAACAAACTTCATCAACAGGATGGAGATTCAATGATTGCATCCTTTCTAGTACTGAATATGCGATCCTAAGTTGCTTTGCTTTAACCATACCGGCTATGTTGCCCTCAACAAAAGCTGGAAGATGAATAAACCATAAGCTATAACAATAACTTACAAGACATTTAGCCCAAGTCAATGGTGCTTCAGAATGATGACGGGCTACTCTTTGAGCACTTCGAATTTCTTGTTTAGTCCGACGTGACATTGGACTAGCTAAGGCAGCAGTTGATCCTGTTCTTGATAAATTAGAAGCATCGATTGTATCTTGATCAAATGAGTTTTTTGTTATAGTTGAATGCAAGTGAAATAATGACTTATCTAGGGCAGGGAAACACGAATACGAATAAGTTTCATTGGAAATTGGTTCAGGAGCAGGAATGAATACTGTTCGGTCATTGTGAGAAGAATCATCGATGTCTAATAAACGAATTTTTAAAGAATTTTCAAGATCCCCGTAGGCTTCGATTCTATCCAGGCATTCATCGAAGAAAGCCAGACTAGCATTTTTGTCAGAAACAAATGAACGCTCTTCAATAAAACGAGTGAACATTTGGGTCCGCATCAATATATGGTAGAATCGTTGATGAGCTTTATCACGGGATTTAATGAAACCTTGAAAATCAAATAAGGAGTTAGGGTCAGTAGCTCCAATTGTAGGTGCTTTAGTGATAGGTCTCAGATATGCACGAAAATTTTTCAATATTGATGCCATGAATTTAACAAATATTTCTTGAATTTCTAAATCGATCGTACGTTCACGTTTTCGAGCAGCCATACCATCATTTGAAAATGGTGAAGTTGAGTTACGAGATTTAGATTGAGGGTTATATGTTTCGTTGTTTGTTCGCGGATTAGGTTTCAATAATTTTTCATAAAGTTTTTCTAGTGTATTACGAAGAACACGGGAAGGTCGTTTAGGTAAAAGTTTGAAATTGAGAATCTTTTTGTGTTCAGAGATATAAATTGAATTTGTATCCAAGTCGACACAAGCTACATCCAAAGGTAATTCATACATGTCAAAATAACGAGAATCAACACCAACAATGAAAGGTAACGGTGCATTGAGAACATCACACAAGCCTAAAGGACATAATGGTATGTAAGGACATTGCCAATGGAATGGAAAGATGAGAGATGTTAAAGCTTCAGCAACACTAGTTAATACATCAGGTCGTAACGAATGAAGAAGAATTTTTTGTTCAGCTAAAACAAGTAGCAAGACTGTGATACTGTTTTCAGGCCCAAGATTGCGAAGAAACTGAGTGAAAGAAGCTCCACTTAGAGGTAAAGGCAGGTCTTCAGAAGGTTGAGAAAGTAAAGCAGCTTCATCAAGAGATAGTCCTAGTTGAACTTGTATCTTAGGCCTTTGAACAGATGGAAATGGCACATCCAACATGAAATGCGAAATATATCTTTCAATCGGTATATTGTGCAAAACGTTAGGTGAACAACACGTCATGTGATATAAAAAAGTGAGAAATTTTTCGAAGGTTTCAAAAAAAGGCCATCGAGACAGAATGCAAATTGATTTGACAGAGTTAAGTGTTTTTGCTGCTTTATCCTCGACAGTAATAAAATTAAGTCTGGATTTCTCATCTTCGTTGAGGAGATCTTCATCGAATTTTTCATAAAAAGTTATTGCAGCTCCATACACCTTGACAGCAGCATTGGAGGTAAGAACAAAAGTTGAAAAGAGTGGACGTGGTTGTTGACACTTTTTGGGCCAACATTCAACAGTAGCTCCCATAGGCATACAAAACAAAGGTACAGATTGCGGTAATGAGTAAGAATCATGATCAACCGGGGGAAATCTTTCAAGTATAGTTGGTTCATAACGCAATAAAGGTGGCCTATTCATAGATTTTTTATAACAAATGAAAACATCACTTCCAATTATGCCCTGAAAAAATATAATCATTGGTATCAGTTTCAAATACAGTATAAAAAATTTCAGAAAACGAATTACTAACCTTATTCAAATTTTTGTTAATTTGACAATAGGCATGTGGTGGGTTTTCGTTCTTATTACCAAGAACAACACAAATATCAATAACAACTAGTTGATTACATGGGGCATTTTCTTTGGCTCTTCGATAAGTGAGAAATGTTCTTGAAGTACCATTATTGACATTAGCTATTTTACCATATGGTGTAAGATAAACTACTTCACTATCTGACATAACTCTCTCTTTAGCTTCATAAAGAACTCCAATATCAACCAACGGTGGTTTATCTGTACCTCTTTTATAGCACAAAAAAATATTTTGAGTACGAAGACTTCCATGGTTGAGATCAGCTGGAAATCCTAACGGAGTCGTTTCAATACAGTGATAACCTTCGGGCGCTGTTTCACCTTGACTTGCAATTATCACAGTAATATCAGTAATAGGAGGTAAACCAATTCCAGAAGATCCTATTGGACTCAATGATGGGCTTGTACCTTCTCGAGAAAATGTTGTGGCTTCAGTTGACTGAATAGTAGGAATACCAGCAACCACAAAATAATCACAAATGCGTTTTTCGTCCATCAGCAATCCAAACAACAAATAAGGAAAAGCTAGTTATTTTTTCTTAATTCTTCAGGTTTAACCAGCTCAAGTTTTACCTGTGAAGATGAACGCAACAATATGAGTAAACCTAGAATCAAGGACATGAGTAGGGAGAAAACAGGTAATCAGGTAATTTCAAAAATATTAACAAAACTCCAAAACACTCACCAACTCATTTTGGATAGCCCTGAATGTACACAATTTTGTCTTTAAATTTTTAATCATAATTAACGTTTAACCACTAATTTTTTATTGTATTTAACGATGGTTAAAAATGTAAATAGAAAACATCATGGTTGGTAAGGCCCAAGAAGTTCAATAAGGTAATCAATGTAGCTGTAACTCACTGCAATATTAGACTGCAATACCCCTGTAAATATCAGCCTGTTATTCAACCAGGAAAGGTAATAAACCCGAGAGATGTCACTACAAAAATTAAGAAAACCAGAGAGTAAAGCGGACTTTTCAAATCCATTTTATTTTTTAATCAAGAAATTTTACTTTAATTTTGATTGTTTTAGCAGGCAGACGTTCTGATTAAAAGCAATGGGTGACAATTAAGAATAAAAAGGAAGTTAAGCTTCGGGTTTTTATTTGCTACTGTAAATAAATTGCTCACAATATGAAATGAAACGAAAGGTATTATCTGTTGAAAAGCACAATGAACCTGATTATTATTGACTTGATGTACCCAACAATTAAAGAGATACAATGAACAGATTGTTTAGTTGAGGATAAAGAATTTACAATGGATATGAATCACGATTGAATTGAAATTGATTAAATTTATATACAAATTTAAACTTTCACATTTCAACACGAAAAGTGTAAAATCTATAAAATATTTTAATTTATTTCCGATGGTCTCTACACATTTCCGACTGACTTTTGCTATTGAATATCCTATGAAATCAACTCTTGATAATTTTTCAAGCTATCAAGTAAATGTCTTTATTGATATTTTACAGTTAATCTGCTGATTATGAACAGAGAAATGCATTGAATTAGCAGTTGGTTTCCTTTAATGCCTCATTTACTTCATTAATTTTCCATAAACTTTTTCACCTTAATGAACTCAGCTCTGGGAATTTTTATTGATTGGTTTTGATGGATAAGAAATTGATGGACAACAGTTAATCTGTAAAAATCATCAAAACTTTCTCTTTTGAATTCAAAGCAAATCTCTCACCTAAAATTATAATCTAACCAGTAAATTAGCAGTTCAATTGTTTCACTCTTAAACTACACCAACTTGGAAAGTTAAATTTAATCTGAAATGGACAAAAATTGAACAAAATATGTAACAAAAAGATAGGAAAATGAGATTTTTGATTGTTTTTTATTGTTTTAACAAATGCGGAAAACGCTTTGTTTTCAAAGCTATTAGATTTTGGATTTTAATGGTAAAACCTGCAAATACTTTTATTGTCGCATCAATTGTAAAACTCACTCAAAGCACCTTCGATTACTAATTTAAAAGCAGATGTAACGGCTTAGACAGTTTTAGTGGTTAGTTAAACGAAAATGGTTAAACATCAATCTGTCAATTCAGCTTGGCAATTTTAACTAAAGCTACTAATAGTGACTGTAAATCCAGTGATTTTTAGCTGAAAATATTAAAAATATGTTATCCCACCGATGGTTGATAGTGTTATCCTTTACAATTGGTTCTGTAAGTTTGCAAGGTCTAACTTCATCTTCTTCAGAAACCTCATCAACATCAATCGAGCTTAATCAACAATCAACTGATATAGTAACTTCAGCACGCTCATACCAACGACAACATAATATTTACAATAACAATGGAAACAACGGAGGAAACAATCAACATAATAATAAACCATTCAACATGTATAATCCACAGGGCTGTTGTTCGTGCACTGAATGTTGTTCCTGTGATTCAAGCTCTTCTGATTATCCTGAAATCTATGATGATCCACAGTTGCCCTCCTCCTCTTCATCGGTACCTCACTCATCTGGACCATTATCACCGGCAGCTGCTTCATCGTCTTCAGGTTCATCTTCAGGTCCATTAAGTCCATTAATTAATAGATTTGGATCAACAACAAGACGATCAGTGATTGTTAGACGTCGCTTTATCAGGCCCAATGGTATTACTGTTGTTGAAGTGGAAGAGCAACCAAATCCACCTTCACCACTTCCCCTGCCACCACCATTGCCACCTCCTTTTTCATTCAGTAATCGACCTGGTGGATCCTCAATATTTGGTTCAAGTGGCCTTTTTTCTCGATTCTTACCCTCTGCCTTGGAACGCAACAACTCAACCCGATTTCGTCAAGTTAACAATCGAAATCAAATGAAAACAATCGCCAAAGTCAATCTATCTGGTAGCAATCAGAGAAGACAAAATCAGTGATTCAGTCAACTCAATATCCATTTATGCTCGTGATATTATTTCATGTTAATTCTGTTTACTCAAACTCTACAAAAAGGGCTCGAACAACTATTTTGTTTCCTTTCAAGAGCCGGCACTTCAAAATTCATTAAGTTAGCAAAAACTGAATAAAAGAGTGAAAGCTCAAAAGGTCAATCAATCAAGAAGTGAATTGTAACTAATTATGCTAATCTTTTCCATATTTCAATACAGCTTTTGAAAGATTTTGGATATTTAATCAAACTAAACTCGATTCGAGAGCAACATTTTCTAAGATTAACTTAAATTAGCATAATGTAACATACTGATCCATAGTGAGTTTATACCATTGCGATGATTATTTACAATAAGTTTCTTGGTTTCGAGATTTGTTTTACGCAAATTCATTACAATGATATCTTTCGCGTGAACTATTGAGATCCAAAAAGGTTGTTTGGTTCAAGAAAATCTGAGAAGAAGAAATCTAAAACTTAAATTTTATATTTATTTTCTTTAGAGATTTTCTTTCAAAATAATGGGAGTTTTTAAATCTTGGTTAATGAACATATTAATAATATAACTCTAATAATTAAGATTACTAGGATTTGTTTCTTAAATGCTCCAGCTACAAATCTAAGCATGATTCAGTTATAACTGAAACGGTAATTAGTGTAAAAGATATTTTAAGATAACTCTAATACTGGTTCACTGGTTTCAATTGATTCAACACGAAAAATGATTAGAACACGCAAGGTTTGAAGATAAAATCTTCGTTTTTTTTTGTTTTATTTTGTATCTTCTTGTGTTTTAACAACAATTATAAAAAATGTTGTAACATTGAAAAATTAAAGCAATTGTAATGCAAATGACACGATTTGATTCATTTTTTTGTTCATGAGTACGAAAATTAGGCATCAACAACCAGAAATTAAATACCCCTTGATGCATAATCACGAGTCAAAATTGCCTGAGATTCAGACTAAATTGCGATTAAATCTAATTTTGTTCTGTTTGCTGTTTGAGGCAGAAATATTTAAATCTAAGAAATTTTTATAAGAGTCCCTTTCGTTGTTCCTAAGGGCGTCGGTTTATACTCTGTTAAATCAAAATAAGGTGGAAAAAGAAATGGATGAAATGAGATAAAAAAGTCCATAATGCAAATTGATGAATTGGCAGTGATAATGACATTTTCTTTGAGTATAACATTGGACAGGTGAAGAAAGAAGCATCAATCACTTTAAGAAAAAAATCTCATTAATCACAAACTTCTTGATTGGCAAATGGATTGACAGCAATGACCTACAAAGAAAAAGTAAAGATTAGACTTTAAATGTTAAAGTGTTGTAGCAATTGACTTGCAATGCAAAAAAAACTTACAATCCATTTGTGGATATCGGATGGACTTATGGATACTTCAACATTAAGTCTGGAGAAAGGAGCAATTGTTTGAACCTCGGCTTTAGGACCTTTCCAAAAAAGTTTCATTACTTTAGACCCAGATACCGATTCTTGAAATTCAAAATGATCAACTTCAAGTTTATCACAATAAACACGACAAAATTCGTTACAATTTGTACACATAACGTCAAAAGAGTGATCATAAATTTGTACAACAACCGCCTCATCACGAACAACTCCACATTGTTTTATATACAGAGCCACAAAGAGTTTGCCACTAGCTGTAGAAGCTAATCTTGAAGCATTCTTCTTTACATTACAAACATTTGCTAATTGCTGCAGTTCTTCAGGACTATCTGAGACCATATTACCACACTCGAGTGCAGCAGCTAGAAGTCTATGAACAATAACGTCGGGATAACGTCGGATTGGTGAAGTAAAATGTGTATAAAGTTCAACATTAAGAGCGTAATGACGATAGAAATTAAACGATTGAGGAACTGCTCCAGCGCAAAAATATTTGGCTTGAGTAAGAGATCGCAGTAGAACATTAGATAAAGATGTATAAATTAATGGGTCATCGATTGAATTGAGAGCTTTTTGGATACTTTTCGCTGAGGAAATGTCTATTTGTTTCATTCCATTAGCAACACAGTACTCTTGGAATTGTTTTAACATTCTACCATCAGGAGGTTCGTGTCGACGAAGAAAAGCATGTTCAGGAAAAGTGTCATAAATTTTTTTAGCAACAGCCATATTTGCCATGAGCATGAATTCTTCGATGAGATAATGCGATTCTAAATGTTTATGAGGTGTGTAACCTAAAGGTAGACCAGATTCTGAGTCAAGAACAAAAGCTAATTTTGCTTCTCTCATATTTAGAGCTCCAGTTTCTAGCCTTCGATTACGAATTTGTCGAGCCATTTTCATAAAAATATTAACAGAGGAGCTAATTTCATCAATAGTCCAATCACCATAAACGTGAGGAACTTCTTCTGGTGTCCATTTTTTGTCTGGATTGTCAATCATATCTTGGGCAATTTCATAACTAAGTTTTATGCAACTTTGGATGATGCTGCGTCCAAACCAAGGTTCACCGTAAACATTTCCGTCCTCATCCATGGTCCAGACAACAGAAAAGGTTAGTTTGTCTTCACCAGGGTTAAGGGAACAAAGACATTCACAGAGAACTCGTGGAAGCATTGGAATCATCTTTTGTACTAAATAGAACGATGTAGTTCGCTTGCGAGCCTCTTCGTCACAGGGTAGCCCTTCTTTTAAAAAATATGAAACATCAGCAATATGAACACCAACCTCATATAATTGTTGACCATTGATAGATTTTTCATTTTCAATAACACGAAGCGATAAGGCATCATCAAGATCACGCGCTGTACTTGGATCAATAGTAAATACACAAACATCATGGAAATCCCTTCTAGTTAATAATTCCGTGTTCGGTATCTTGAAGTCGGTAGATTTTTGAACACAAGGAAGTCCATGCATTATGGTTTCATCAAATTCACTATCATCGATTCCGTTCTCAGTTAAAATAATCTCTGTTTCAACATTGATGTCACCAGAAGATCCTAATTTTTTGACCAGAGTACCCGTTGGTAATTTACTATTCTCTTCCCACGAGACTATGCGAGCAATAAACATGGTGTCTTCATAGTGGTTGGGATGATGTATAAAGTCAGGAGGACATTGATCCATAGGAATCAACATTCGAGGAATTTTACTATCTGTTGGACAGAACAAAGCCGTGTTGTTACGATCTTTAATCATTCTGAGTTTACCACCAGCAAAACGAGGGTGACCCTCAGAAATAATTGCTTTAACTTGGCCAGTTTTTTGAATAAATTCCTCCCAGTGAGGGCAACCAATGAAATTTTCAGCAGTTAGATTAATAAAATATGATGGTAAGCCCTCGGGAATGTTTACCTTGGATTCCTCAGTCTTTTTAGTTTTTTTCGTGGAAGAGCTTGGCGCTTCTTTATTTTTATTTTTCTTTTTGGACTTTTTACTGCTTTTCTCGGTTCCACTTTTAATTATTCGTAATTTAGATTTACTTTGAGGGGGCCTTTCAGGCTCTGAATCTTCCGAGTTTTCGTCCAGTTCATCGTCAATAACTACGGAGCAGTGGAATCTCTCTAGATCATTGATCATATTCATGATATAGTCGTCTGTGATTTCACATGGTGGAATAATACGTTGTAGATTCGTTTGTGCATTAGATTTTCCATTTTTTTCTTTTTCTTTCGACGATTTTGCTTTCGAGCTAGAGCTCGTTGGTTCCTCTTCATTTTTAGGCCAGAACCCTTTAGGCTCAGTCTGATCTTCTTGCATGGACACTTGGTTCTTTAAACTTTCGTCAATTTCTTTTCCCCATTCTTTCCATTTAAAACGGAGCTTTTCATATAAAATCTACAAGTAAAGACGATTTAAGAGTTAGATTATTGATTTATAATTTATTGTTTACTAATTTTGGAATAAGAAAATACTAACCTTCCACTTATTCGGAGGATTCAGGGCAACAGCAACCCTGTCACCATTGAAAGCTCTATTTCTACCTTCTATTCCTCCAATGTATATGTCCATCTCCCCGTCCTGCAAAAATTGAAATGAGAAGAAACAGAATTAGAAATGATTTGAGATTTAAATTAGGTTAGGTTAAAGGAATTAACGTAACCAAAATGCAAATAAAAATAAAAATAAAGTAAAAAAAGATTCAGAACAGTAAAAAGCAACAGAGTTGAGCCAATAAGTAATATCAGCCAACATATTATATAAACATAGTAGAGATAAGATTACTGAGCATAGCTATTTAGCAATAATCCTTATAATTTTCAATTGAATATCTAAGAAAAATATCAACTAGAATCTTGAACAGATTACTAAAGTGATATCATGGAGTATCATTACGAGCACTGCAAAGGGATCTGATTGGTTCAAAGAGGTATATAAAACAGGCAAATATTAAAAAATTATTGCTACTAAATAAAAGAGTAAATAGCACTAAAATAACATAAACAATGTACACAATGCCAAGCCAACACAAAACGCATAACTAGGAGAGGATTGTGTGACTTGAAACGAGAAAATAGTTGGGTACCAATGATTACCGGGGCACTAATATATGCGTCTTCAAAATTCTTTGGATTGATCCTTAGGACACCCTATAAAAGAAAAAAATTGGAGTTAGAAAATTGAGCACAGTAGCTAAAGAAAATAAGTCATAATAGGAAAAATGGTTACCTCAATTACTTCACCCTTTTTAAGGGCAGACTGTACCTCGCACAGAGGCATGTAACAATCAAATTTTTTGCTACTAGGGCTACTATTTGTACCAGTTTTAACCGAAGATTCAGATAACACAGAGCCAACAGTAGATGATTTGGTTAGGCCTGGTTTTTTGTTCTTTGTCGATGAAGAAGATTGTTGTGACATTATTCTGGAAGGTGTTGAAGAGGCAGAAGACTTAATAAAAGGAGATTCTAATTTATAAGATGATTTGTCAGTAGGAGTACCAGGTAAAGAGCATCTAGGACTAGTTAGTGTACTCGTTGGAGCTGATCTGTAGAAGAAACCACTATTAATGTTTTTGTTGCTAAAAACATTGCCACTATGACAGGTTTGGTTGTAAGGGTGATGATGATGGTGAAAGTGTGGATGATGATGTTGATTGTTATTGGTGTTGTTATGGTTATTGTCAAAGCTTTTATGATTAGCGTAGCTTGAAGTTGGGTAAGTTTGATGACTATGACTAGTTTCACGATGAGAATAGTTCCTTGATAAAGTACTATTATGGTTAGGCGTTGATGAATGGAAAGGTGAGGTTACATGATAATAGTCTCGTTGAGTTGGATTGAACATGTTATTAGTAGGAGATGGCGTTGATAGAGAACCTCGTCGATTAGTTAATGGTGAATTATAACCATAAGTATTACCATTTGCTGTGTAAGTTGGTAAACGGCTTCGCTGCACACTCATATCACAATCGACAAACCAGACTGATCGATAGTCAGTTGTGAAAAAAATTTTCAAATGGAGGGATGAAAAGGGTAAAATGTACTCAAAATTCAGTAAAATCAAAATTTAACAAAATATTTGATTAAATTAAAGTCAGGACGAAAAACGACGAAAGACGATGAAAATACAAAAGGTTAAAGTCACAAAGGTTAAAAAAAGAGCACAGCAAATCCTCAGAAAATATGAGAACAAAATATTGCAAAAAAGAAAATAAGATCAAAGGTGTTCAAAAGATGATAATTTGTTCACTGGAGTCAACCGAGAATATCAGCTACTTTTATATTTATAATTAAGGTGGCGATAATCACAATAATAATTAATGTGTGTCACAAAAATGATTATCAAAAATAGATAGGAACCTTTCCAGTTGTAAAGTAATATTTGTATGTAATCCACACTTTATGTTGCATAGAGAAAAAAGTCAGTCAAAAGAGTCGAATCACTGCTATGCTGTAATCGCCTTAGTTCAAGCTTTTTGCTCAGAAGTGATGAAATTTAAACCTAGCGCTACTTATTGTTATTTCTTATTAGCTAATAATTTCTTCAGTTTTTTTTGCTGATTTGTGTTTTTTGATTTGTCTTCTTTCCCCACATTGTCTTTCGATGAACATGATTTTGTACACCCAATTGAAAAGTGCTTATCCATGGATATTCCTCCCCCTTTGCGACAATAAATAATAAAAAATTAACCATCAAAACAATTTCCTTCAATTTTTATATTCAACCCATTGGCCTCTAGTCATCTAACTTTATCGTTTGCACCTTGTTTTTTAAAATTAGTTTTTAACTGTTCCACTATTGTCAATTATTTTATTTTTACCCCTTCTACTACTTTTTGTGTCATTCTCTATACTTAATCATGGCTGCGAAATCTCCATTATCAAAATCATCTGTTAAACCTGGTAAACCAAGAGACGCTATTGATGTTGTTAACGAATGGGATAGAATATTTGACAGACAATGGGAAACTATGAAGAAAGATAAAGAAATGTTGCTTGAATATGCTGAGGAGTTAATGGTCAATACTGAACTTGAAAATGCTTTGTACGTCGTTCTTGATGACTTCAAAATTACTGAGAGAGTAAGCACAAGTTTTCACTTTATAAAACTCTGAATTTTTGAAACCGGTAAAATTATTTCTCACCTCATGTTTGTTTTCGTTTCATTTTATCAGCTCGTAGAATGCATCTGTAAAATTCTTTTTGCGTATCGAAGGTCGGACTGTGAAAAATTACACCTTTATGTTCTTAATTATGTGCCAAGTTTAATGGGTTTGGCTATGCAAGCGTCAGTTAAGCCAAGTGATGTCAAGAAAAAATTCAAATGTGTAGAAACTTGTTTACTTAATATCTATAATAAGGAAATTCTTGATGAAGATGGCAAACCAAAGAAAACAAAGATTCGTATTCCTGATATGACTAAAGCGACAATCTATCATGATCCCTCTCAAAGTTCAGGTTCACCTAGCTTCATGGAACAGACCATGAAGTTTTTAGAATCAACTCTTCCTGATAAACCAATTCCATCATTTGGACCTTATGAACAAGTTGAAAGGTTGCATGCCAGTAATCGGAATAAAGTGATGACAGTTCTCATTCGAATCTATTATCAAAATTTGGATAATATTAGTAAAAATTCATGGAAGACTCTTTGTAAAGTAGTTTTAAAGTATGTTGTTCATGTTCTAATTCTTATGCAACATTACCATTTTAACCTGTTGAACTTGAATTAACCTCATCTTGACCTTTTCGTTTTTATTTAGAATTCTAAAATTAAGTGGACCAAGAAGTTCAAATGAACAAGCTCATGCCATAGCTACAGCTCAAGCTGCAGTTAATGCAGCCGGGAAAACGGGTTCAGGAATTATGACATTTGATGAAATGTTGGCAGTTGGCTTAGCTCGAATCCAAATTGCTAGTGAATGGTTGGTTGAGGTTCTTCGATGTGTCCATGTTTTCCTCTACAATGGACTTACTGATTTGGGATCAAAAGTTTTACAGCAAGCTCACCAACGAGCATTGCTTCATCTTTGGACCGATGTTCTTCTGGTAAGTTGAAATTGAAAGATTCCAAATTTGAATTGCTTTAATTACTCTAAAAACATTTTTCTTATTTCCTATTATCCTGTCATTTTCTTAGATGTCAAATGCCATGATTCATTCATTCAAGATTGATCCTACTCCTGACCCAGAACCTACAGATATAACTGGAAGTCGAACTGATGTCAGGTCACCAATATCAACTATACTTACAGCCACCTCTGCACAGCGACCCCCAACCACTGCAGCCACCTTTAAGCCTTCAAAATTACCTGAAGACATTCCTATCGTTAGTGCCAAACCTGAGAGATCTGCAAGTGAAGCTGGTGAATCTAGTACATCTCCTCGACCCACTTCATCTAAGGAATAATCGAAATAGATTTTAACCTTTAAAAAATTATTTTTAATTCATCTTTCAACACTTGTGAAATATCAATGAATTATGGATATCATCTTTAATTTGTTATAAGATTTTTATTACCTGTCAATGTTTTATTATTGTCATGTCATTGTAAAATTTACTGATGAGCTTGTTCATCTTCTATTTTCATTAAAACTGAATTTTACTTCACCTCAATTCGTTAAAGAGATACACTTTTTTATGTTACCAAAGGATTTTTTCATCATAATCATATTGTTAGAAATCAACAGACAAGCATGTAAAAGGCACCATTGCATAGTTTAATGACACTAAATGTCAACTTGTATTTTTCAATTTGTTCATTTACAAATAACAAGTTTCAACATGTGATTAAAGTATGTTATTATCTTGGGCTTTGTTCAGAAATCTTGTTCATAATAAAATACTCTTGATAATAAATCTGTTAAATCACTTGATTTGATGATACAGGGGTTAAGGGAACTGATAAACATGAAACTCAATGATTTGCTTAAAAACATTTATTGTGTAATTAACTTTTTATCATAAGGCATTTCTTGCTTGAAAATTTCATTTTAACAGAAAATATTGTATCAATTTTAACATAAGGGACAAAACAAATTCAGTTGTCCCGCTTAGATATAAAAACAAGTCGCATTATAAAATTTATAAAACAGAAAGATGAGCGATTTTCCCGATCAATCAACAACAACAATTTCTTCACCTGTTTCTGCCAGTCCTTCAAGCAACACGATAGCTCGTTGGGCTGTTCGCGTACGCCTCATACGACGTGAATACTTTTTAAGGTCTTTTTTCAGTGTGTCATCAGCAAGTAAATCATTAATTGCTATGATAAATAAATTTTCATCGAAGTCGTAAGGGCTAAATGCATATCCAAATCCCCTATCGAGTACTCGAGTTGCATTATCAAATTGATCACCAAACAAAGGTAAAACGAGCATTGGTTTACCATGGAAAAAGGATTCAACAAGAGTATTATTGCCGCCATGGAAAATAACCAGATCTACTAAAGGAATTACAGCTGGTTGATTAATAAATTGACTGCCGGAACAATTGGGAGGCAATAACAACTTATCATGGTTGGGCCCTTTCGAGATTATGTATTGATGAGGCGTTTTCGCAAAAATTCTCAACAACTTGTCCATCAAGATAACATCTGCTGAACCCATAGTGCCGAGAGTGAAATAAACTTTCTTTAAATCAGCTTGTAACCAAGTCAACTGGAAACCGAACGGTGCTCTAGCAGGAGGTCGAAGAAAATGATCAACTCTTGTCCAGTATTTCGGAGGTTTTCTACTTACTTCAATGTAATCAAACTCAAATGGGTAAATATAAATGTTGCAAGTTTCTGGTGGCATCCACAGTACGCCTTCTGGAAGATTAACTCCTCGAGGTCGTGCAAAGTCGGCCAATACTTTAGCGACCGGTGCTATTGCCGCATCAAAATCTTCTTTAAAAACTCTCCATTTTGACTTGGCAGCTCCAAAACCGTAACCAGAATACATTGGTGGACCGTATAAGTCTCGATAAATGCACAACGGATTGCTAGAAACGACACAACTCCAAGGAATACCAGAAGTTACTACAGCAGGAACGGTTACATAGTAATCCACTAAGATTAATTCAGGTTTTTCTTCTTTTATTATCGCAGCTATTTGATCATTCACGGCCATAACATTATTCACAAAATCAGTATAATATTTTACTTGTAACTCTAATTGATTTTCAGGTTTTTTGCGAAAAAAGTATGAGTCTCTGAGCATTTCTGTAGCCCATCTTTTTTGTGGATCCTCATCGTCTTTGTAGGCAGGATTGTCTAGTTCTCTAACTTTAAAAGGAGTATCTTCCAAGTATTTCTTGAAAGGTTTCGTTACAACAAAAAATGGCCCATGAAATCTTTGTTTAAAATAAAATGCCAAGCCAAGTAAGCTTAAAACATGACCTGCACTGATTCAAACAGACAAGATACATTAGATTCAGGATCAAAACAAATGAGAAGTATTAATAAAAACAGAATAGACACTTACCCGTCCATCGGTAGAAGCATAATTTTGTTTTTTTTGTGCCGATGACCTTTCAAATTACTTTCCTCCATCATCCGTTGCAAATAATTTCTAGCATATTGCTCTAAATCTTCTTCCCTTTCCACTGGATTCATTTAGATTCCATGAACTATTTCAAGCAACCAAAATAATAAATTGAAATACTTAAAAATCGAGGAAATAATATTATCAAAATGGGTACAAAGAATGGAAAGCAAATGAAGTTCTGTTTACATCTGATACAATGTGACTAAATGTTTCCTTCACTTTATTAAGTAGTCTCGAAATGAGCCAACTAAAGGTATTGCGGTTAATAAGGTTCAGTAATCTCTAACCAGAATGTTGAAAAAGAGATAAGGATTATTTTTAAGATTAAGAAACTGAAAAGACACAATTTTTAATTGTCATATGGTCATATCTTTCAACTTTCTCGTTAGAGATTAATGTACCTTGCTAAATGCAACACCCTTTAGAGTCTTAATTTGATTCCCATTGGCTGAAAATTGTTCATTATCTATTTAAACCAATCAGTAACGCGGTAGAGAACGTTAAATGATTGAAAAAATCTTCCAAGATAAGCAGCTATCTCCTTTGAGAGATGAAAAAATTTGTTTGTCAGACAAATAAATCATCAAATCAACTTGTTTTTGATTGCTTACTTTTTCTTGTTTCATACTTGTTTCATCGTTATATTGACTTACTTTTGTTTGATTTTAAACGCTGATTGTGTAAATTCAATTATGATGTTCTGTGAATCCTGATAATCACGATTGGTTGAAATAGATACACTTATGATAATGGAAAGACAAACAGATTAGTTAGACAGATACTTACAATTTTGGTTGTTGAACATTTTGGATCAAAGAGTTGTCATTTTAACCTAATTAGGCCCATCTTGCTTTAATTTTGAATCAAAATTTTTGATAGATATTTTGATTTTCAAATTATTTTTATCAATGAATCGATAATGGGTCGATTTTGATCTCTTGAAACCGTAAATTTTTGGCAAATAATGTAGAAAAGTTATTCGGTGATCAAGTGATGTCCACTCTTCGTCTTCTCGTCTATTCTGCTCTAGCTAATTCGCATTAAGATTATGACACCCACAATGTAGAGACAGTTTATAGCGAAAGTAAAGACCAATGATTAAGAAAATTATCATGATTCAGATTTTTTTAAATTTCATTGAATGTTAAATGGTTAATTTTCTCATGCCGATAGATTATTTGTCGTGGTAATAACTTTGACTGAGTTGATCAGAATATAATTTCGTTGGGTTACAATTTTATCTTTAGAAGTTTTTATGGTTGATTTAACATTGTTGATGGAGTAAACTAATTAAATTGTTTAGTCTTTAATAGTTTAGTAAACTAATCAATTAGTCTAATTGATTGAATAAAACTTAAAAATACTGGATATGGATGGTAACTCCATCTATGTGGTAAAAAACCTGTTTATGGTTCAATGAAGGAATGGCTGTGAGGCTGTGTGTAAACAATTCTATTTGTTCAGTATAGTTGCCTTTTATTTATTTTGAATAAAAACAGATGCTAACATCATGTATTAGTTGAAAATCATCTGGTTTGAATTCAATGATCTCAATTTATTCCTCAAATACTTCAATTATTCGATGACCTGTTGTCACTCAATTTCATTACGTTTTTATTTTTGTGAACTGTTTTCTCTGTAACATTAGTCAATACTTATCTGGGTAAGTTGAAGCATACGTTTTAACACTCTTTCCTTCCCTATCATTAATTTTATCTCTTTTTTACCAGGTGACTAGGTAAAATGAGTGACACAAGCGAACGTGGAGTTGGTGATGGCCAAGAAGGAAATGAAGAAAAAAAGATTTCTAATCAAACTGTGAATGTTTCACCTGAGGGAGATTCATCTGATCCAAAGACCAGTGGTCGAGTTGAAAAAAGTGGAGATGATAATAGAGGGATAGTTGATCCGGAAAAAGTACAAAGGCCAGATAATGCTAAGAAAGCCTTGAAAATTGATAGCGCCTGGTCAGCTAATCCAGAGATTGTTGATCAATTAATCGATATGGGAATTGACAAAGCCAAAGCATTACGAGCTTTATACTTTACCGGTAACAATTCTGCAGGTAATTAATCTTTCTATTTTTTGATTAGTTTTTACGAAGAAGAATCAATCCTAGAACTAATATACATTTATATATTTTGTGAAATTAGAAGCCGCTATTTCATGGATATTTGAGAATAGTGAATCTGATACATCATCTATCGATTTTGGAGAAAGAGAACCCGAAGGAGGTGCTATTGCAAATGAAGAAGACTGTGACGATTATAAAATGGTATTTGTTGTTAATTGTAGTCTAAATATGGGAGTAGGAAAGGCGTGTGCTCAAGTCGCTCATGCTGCCCTGGGTCTGCAGTTATTCCTTTTAGAGAACAGTAAAACTTATGCGAAACAATTTTCCAAATGGACGCAGGAAGGTGAAACGAAAGTTGTTCTCAAAGCTGAAAATGCTGACCATTTGTGTGTTCTTGCTGCAAAGGCAACCTCTCTAAAACTACCAAACTATTTGGTAAAAGATGCTGGACGGACTCAAATACCAGCAGGTTCGACCACAGTTTTATCTATATTTGGAAAAATCGATGTGGTTGACCAAGTTACTCGGCAACTCAAACTTCTTTAGATTGGATTGAATAAAGTGTTTAACACTTGAAAATTTCTTTTCCATCGCAGATGTAACTGAAAACCTTTGTAAAAAAATTCCATGATTGACACAAATTACTACAGATAATTGATGGTATTTGCTTTGCTATATTGTTCGTATCTAAATTTTAATTCAAATAATTATGAAAAGAAGGCTTGATTTTTTGTATCACAGTAAACTTAACGAAATTTAATTTGGGGAAATGTATTTCTCGATGAATTAATATTATTCCAAAGAAAATCATAAATTGTGACAATTTTGAGGAGCTGAATGATTACCAGGATTTATTGATACAAGAAAAAGTAATCTAAAATAAACGATTCGCACCGCTATAAACAAATTTTACACAACGTTTCAATTGCTTTTCTTGAATGATGAATAACTTTCATGGATTATAACTCAATTCATTGAAAACAAAAAAACTTTGAAGCCAATTTTTCGAGCTTTCACTATCTCTACTGAAGAAATAACACCATTATTCAATCACAGGCGATGCTACCGAAACTTATTAAAAATAAACAATGATGTTAATTTAAAGAATGTATTTTTTACTTTTCGTTGAATCAGTTGAATTTTATTATAGTTTAACTGAATATAATTATGGGTAACTGGATTAGCTAAATATAGTTTATGATACTAGCAGTTTCATTTTGAGGTCAATAATTCGAATTACTATCATGATTTGGTAATATTAATTTTTAAATAATGGACAACTTGTGTCATGGATGAATTTTAAAGTTCATCAACTTCATTATTAAGCTATTAATAGTTATATTTTTACTTTAATTATAATTTATTATCTTTTATTAAAAATTACCGATCTATCGATTGTTTGAAAGTTTGATGTATCGGACGTTTATTTTGCTTGTTTAAAATATTTCCCGCTTTCAATTTAAGTCAAGTCTTTTAATAATCAATTTATTGTTTATAATTAATAGTTTTGGGTATACGATTATGTCTAGTTTAAAAGAGTTCATTATTTACCAACATCTCAAATCACTTGCTGCAAAGGTACGTTGTTTTAAATTTATTTATCGATTTCAAGTAACTCGTGTTTTGTTTTCTTTTTTGTGCTAGGATAATGAAATAGACAAGGTTTTGCGGCTTCTGCTTTTGGATTATTTCCACCCCACTATTAATAATTTGATGAAAATTTTCAATCAAGCGCAAGAGGAACCGAAAATTAATTTGAGATTATTGAGTCAGCAGATCGATGAATCAATTGGACGCGAAGTTAATGAATATTACAAATATCTTTCAGGCAAAAAGAGTACTCCGGCCTTGGACGAGTTAATGGTTGAAGTCGAAAAATTCAAACTTGAATGTCAAAACCTCGCAGCAATCGATAGAGAAATCGCCAATGTAGCTGAAAGTATTGTAAAAGTATGTTTATCAACTTACTTGTTAGTTGCTGGTCGACATTTTTTAATCTGTCTTCATTATTTTACAGGGAGCCAACAAATTCTACGAATACATCGAAAAACATACGAAAGATTTCAAATTAGGATTCAAGCTAAATTACGATCACGCCACTTGTAATTTACTTTGTGCTAAAGCGCAAGCTACTTGTTTGAAAAAAAGGTAAAAAGACGAATCTTCAATATTGTCTCATATTCCTAATCAATAACTTTTCAATAGACTCGAGGAAACCGAAGAAGCTGTCCATAAATATGGTAAAAAGGAAATTGTCGAGCGTCTGAAAAGTAAAAGAAATGACTTGGAAGCTGAAAATCAAAGTTTGGTCAGTGAGCTGGAAGAAAAAAAGAGTAAATTAGATAAATATGAAAAACTTGATCCGAAACTGCTTAAAGAATATCTGGTCCTTAAAGATGAACTTAACTGCCGTTTATGGGCTTATCGGATGGTTGATAGAAGCTCGAATTGTTCACAAGGATCGATTGGAGACCAATCGTGTTAATTTTTAACTGGAGAAACATTTAAAGAAGAACTTACTTCGATGGCATGAATATTGCATCAATTGAAAATGTTTTAGTGTTAAAAACTGCTAAATCACAAGAAAATTTGTAAACATGACTAACTTTGTATTGACATTGCATTTGACAAGATTTGTTAGTCACGATGAGTTGCTTGCATTCAACATTTTTCAATATTGAAAATGAAATCAGATTTTACAAATAAATTTACGATCAAACAAAATGATTTTAATTTAAATATCAAGTTTAATTTGATAACTTTCTATGAATCCGTTTCATACAGCATTCAGGTTACTTTTTACCTGGACCATCCATACTTTCGGCGGCTTCCTTGGCTTTCTTCTCTCTGTAACCCACTAAAGTGGCCTTCCTTCTTGACATTCGTGCTAATTGGTAGGCTTTAAAGTTGGCCAATTTCTTGTCAACAATCTTCTTGGTAATGGTGATTTTCTTAGGCTTCAATGGCATGATTGTTCCTCTGATTGAGGTAACCAATTTTTGTACCTCTGGAGCAGTTGCCTTCTTTCCTTTACCAGGTCTTGAGACGATTTGGAGTCTATTCTTGTACACCTTAAGACGATGCATGTTACTTTCAACACTTTCATGTGACTTGTTCTTACGTCTTGGGTCAACAGCGATACCGATAGAACGAGCGTAGCCTACAGACATACCAACAGCTTTTAATTCAGTAATTGAAAATCCTCGTCCGAGTCGTTTCTTAATTGAATATCTCATTGTAGGACAGCTTACAACAGGCTTAAGGGAATTGGGTTTTGATTTTGTCAATCGTTTCCTTGCTCTTCGAGCCTTTCTGGCTGGTTGATTGAACCATGTTTTGATGTACCTTTGCCAATCCTTGTGGAAATGCACATTAGGTACCACATTATTACGAAACTTTGCCATATTTAATCACAATTAATAAAATTTGATGAATTAAACTAACACAATCATAAGAACTGGCAAATATCTTAGACCAATAATAATTCCGTTTCCGGACCTCTTTCTACTAACGCCATCTTCTGGTAAGCTTTTAGTTATTTTCAATTTTGAATAAATTGCAAATTTTGATTTTATTTTTTCGTGATTAATTTTGTTTGAAATTTATTTCATTGTTCAAGAATTATTAATTGACAACTGCTTGAATTTTTTAATGGTTTAAGCCAGAGCTTATTTCTGAATAATTATCAAAATGCGTTAGTTAACGCATTACTCATAATTTTCGTATTAATTTTGTTCAGAATAAAAATCTGAAGATTCTTACGATCAGTGCAATGTTTTTGTTAATAAGTTAATAAATCAATGTTAAATTACAGAAATAATAGTCAATAAACAGAAAATTGTCATTAAATTTGGATCGATAAAACAGCAAGGATAAGTGTGAAATATAAATTGCATATGATTTTACATTTTGGTGAACAGTGAATCTTTTTTATGGTAGAGCCTATTTGCACATGAATCGTGTGTAAATAGGCACCCAGACTAATTACACAAAGTGCACCTCCAACGCCATCTCATAAGGGAACTAATGTTGCGGAATGTTTTTGGTTATTACATTATTTTAAAGAGTCCAATTTTAATTCACGCTTAGCCTAGTGGGTAAAAGGTTGGGTTAAAGTAGAGGAGATTTTAGGTTCAAACCCCGGTGCTTTATTTTGTAGATTAGCTTAGAATCAGAATTTTTTTAGTAAAATTTTGTTGATTATTAATTGACAATGAATCAGATTTAATCTTATTTTAATTCTGCCTTTAACCAACACACAATTGTGAATGTAAAATTTAAAATTTCATGTGTAAAGTTGTAAAATAAAAAGCGCGCTCGACTCCTTGCTGATCCTACTCTTTACCCAGATTCTAAAGACTAGATACTTTTCTTGTGCAAATAGGCTTTACCCTTTTTTATTGCTTTATTTTGTGATTTTACTCAAATTGTAGTTCAAGTTTAATTTCCAAAATGTCTTTGATAGGCCAAGGATCGAATTATTATTTTGTTATTGTTGGTAAAAGTGATAACCCTATTTTTGAACTAGAATATACAACCAAGTCAACCGAAAAATCATCTGAGAATCGTAATTTATCTCAATTTATAGCTCACTCATCTTTAGACCTGATTGATGAATCTTCCTTTTCAGCTAACAACTCTAATATGTACCTTAAAGTTATCGATAAATTCAATGAGTATTATGTTACTGCGTTCGTTTGTGCATCAAGTACAGTAAAATTCCTTCTTCTACATGACGCCAATAAAATAGAGGATGCAAGCTTAAGAGCCTTCTTCACTGATATTTATGAAATCTATTGTAAATTTACATTGAACACCTTTTATGAACTTCATACTCCAATTCGATCATCTGTTTTCGAGAAGAAAGCTTTGGCTCTAGCAAAAAAGTATCTTCCTTAAACAGTAAATTGCTTTCTAAAATAATGTACTCCGAATTAAAATAAAGTTGTTTTATATTTAAACATTACGTTTGATTTGATATAAGAACCGAATGAAAAAAACTATGAATACACCAAGACTGAGGAATTTATAATTTGTTTATTATCTAACATACACAAGTACATTTTAAATTATTACTTTTTGCTTGGTCCATCCATACTTTCAGCAGCTTCCTTTGCTTTCTTCTCTCTGTAACCCACTAAAGTGGCCTTCCTTCTTGACATTCGGGCTAATTGGTAGGCTTTGAAGTTGGCCAATTTCTTGTCAACAATCTTCTTGGTAATGGTGATTTTCTTAGGCTTCAATGGCATGATTGTTCCTCTTATTGAGGTAACCAATTTTTGTACCTCTGGAGCAGTTGCCTTCTTTCCTTTACCTGGTCTTGAGACGATTTGAAGTCTATTCTTGTACACCTTAAGACGATGCATGTTACTTTCAACACTTTCATGTGACTTGTTCTTACGTCTTGGGTCAACAGCAATACCAATAGAACGAGCGTATCCTACAGACATACCAACAGCTTTTAATTCAGTTATTGAAAATCCTCGTCCAAGTCGTTTCTTAATTGAATATCTCATTGTAGGACAGCTTACAACAGGCTTGAGGGAATTGGGTTTTGATTTTGTCAATCGTTTCCTTGCTCTTCGAGCTTTCCTGGCTGGTTGATTGAACCATGTTTTAATATACCTTTGCCAATCCTTGTGGAAATGCACGTTAGGTACCACATTATTACGGAACTTTGCCATATTTAATCACTATTTAATTAATTTTATCAGAGTTACTTGGTTGAAAAACAGAAACCAACATCAACAAATGGCAATTGCACTGGTAAACTTAGATTCCGTTTCCGCCGATTACATACTTTCGCCATCTATCGTGTAGTAACTCAACTAGTTAACAAAATCTGTGTAACTTTTTGCTAGTAAAACAGACAAAAAGTAATTGTTGACTGCGATTGTCATTCATCGCAATCAAGATCGGTAATATTTGAAAATCATGTCCTCTGAATGAATGAGTTAGGATGAATATTTATGAATACATAATTAGGGTAAAATTTATTGACTTTATTGGTGAACACTTATTCCCTGCAAATTTCCGATGCCAATCAAAAAAATTACTTTTAACACACTTTCAAATGATTTGGATAGAAAGTTGATTTACCTAGAAGTAAACTAATAGTGCTTAAAGAAACAAAATTGAATAAATTACATAAAGACTTATGATTGGTATGATATTACTCAAAATGTATTCAAACCTCAATAACTGTTAATCAAGATCTTCAATAAATAAAATAAGGATTCGTCATATCCTCGATTGAATGTTGTTGATGAACCAAGAATCATTTAATTTCCTGAAAATTTTATGCTTATCAACCGATGACCGAGAATAAGCTGTTCTGAATTTTACCCTTAAGATGCCAAAAAAGCAAAAACAACGGAAACGATCCAAAACCGTAATAGAGAAACAAGAAAAAGGCGATAAAAAAACTACCAGGTAAGAGTTTCAATATCAAAAATTAATCATTTTGTCTTAATTTTAATTTAATTATTTAATTTTAGTTTTCATTTTACTTTCTAATAGGAAAGTTAAATCAGAAGACAGTATTGAATTACCTGTATCACTATTAACTAATGAAATAACAGACGAAGATACAATAACTGAATTAGTTCAATGGAAATCAAAAACCTCATTGTAAGCATTCAATTCAAATTGTATTGACACATTAGCTGTTTTAACATTTTTTGTTTCATTTTGACTCTCAGATCAGAGGAAAGCTTAGATCTTAATAACAATAGTCTGAATGATGCTAAAAACGCTAAAGATGACAAAAAAGTTACAGTCAACAGGTTAGTATTTACAGTTTAATTGGTGCGATTTTGTCAAAAATTGTAACATCTTTCATCCTTTCTTAAGGCCTATCGAGCGACCATCAAGCCCAATCACCTACAAAACGACCATTATTTTACATCCTGAGCAAGCCAGCCAACCTCATTACCAAAGAGTCACCACTTTGAATGTCAAGAGAGATACGCCACCGAGAATCATTGAAACATCATCACAAACCAATAAAGTTAATCAACTGGATGAGGAAGCTAACACAGTGGAGTGGTTAATTTCATCTGTAATAATCCTTGCCATTGCGTTGCTGTTAATCCGATTTTTTTGATTGAATTGAATTTCTTTAAAATCAAGTCTATAAAGTAATTTTACTTTTAATAATATAAGAACACGAATGAGATGTTAACAAATCAGCTGAGACTTTGATTGATATACCAAAACCATTTGCTTAGTTACTGTTAATAACCAACAAACCGATCCAATTTATAAATAGCAATTGATATTGTAATCTATTGGGTATCCATTCAATTCAGCATTGAGTGTTTTAAGTAATGGCCAAGTATGTGAACAACAAGTTGATTGAAAATCGTCCAAAGATAGTTCCCATAACATGGCTCCACCTAATCCATTTTGCTTGATATAATCAGCCTTTCGTTTGAGACTTAATAAATCATCGAAACCGACCCATTGATTGCCTTTAAATGCAACTGGAGCTTCTGTCCCGTTAAATCTTCCAACAGTCCAACCTGAGTCACGTACAAGCCTACAAATCTCGGTGAATGATATATAACCAGGTTCTTTGGTCACAGGACCGGGTAAGCCAGGACCAATTGATTTGTGATTCAAACCGTAATTAGTTGAGTTGATGGTGATATTATCAGCTAGAGTAAATGAGCGACCATAAAAGGGAACACCAAGGATCAATTTATTCGCAGGGAAACCTTCGTTTATCCATTTGTTTACAACGGCATTGCAATTGCGGCTATTTTCCTCTTCAGTTGTTGAATTAGTTATTGAAAACAATTGAGAATGATGAACTGAAACATGGTAATAGTCATAATACAAATCATAAGTCATTAAATTGACAAAATCCAATGATTGGGCTAAGCTTGAGACATCATAAGATGTGTTAACCAGATTAACCCATCCACCAACAGCAGCTGTTATTAAAAAGTCAGAACCATTGGTTGCAGATCGAAGTTCACTAACCAATGAAGCAAATCCTTGTTTATCATGTAAACCTTGAGTGTAATTACAAACATTTTGCCAGCAAGTTGGATATTCCCAATCAAAATCAATGCCATCAAATCCATGGGACTGTAAAAATGGAATGACTGATTTAATGAAATTAGCACGCAATGTTGAGTTATTAACCATCTGAGAGTATTTTAGTCCATCAGCTGAATCACCCCAACCTCCTAAAGACAGAAGAACCTTCACTGCTGGATTAATTTGCTTTAAATCAGTGACTCTTCGGTAAAAATTCATATTGTAGTCAATTGTTCCATTAGATGAGATTAAAGTGTGTGTTTGATTGTCCAATACGGCAAACGCGTAATTAATATGAGTACAAAGATGAGGTGGAATGTCCTCTGGATAGAGTGATCCATAACTAGATGATGTCCAGGCCCAATTGGTAAAATAACAGATGACTTTATAACCATTGGCTAAAGGTGATGAGGAATTAGAAAGTAACTCGTTGGTTCCATTAACAGTCAATATGGTTTTCAATTCAATTTCATTATCCTCTAACTGGTCAATCGGACAATTTGGTGGAAGATTAACTGTACACAATTGTTTGTCTGAATCAAAGTATAAACCAATAGGGCATCGTAACAGTCGACTGATAGTTTCATTTGTACACTGACCATAGACCTGGCAATTCGTGGATTCACCAATGTACCCATTCCCTTGACAAGGACGACCGACGACTAGAGTTGATGAAATTGTTGGAACCAATTCAGAAAATACAAACAAAATTAATAAAGACAACATTTCAGGTGTATTCAATCAACTTATAACTGCAATCACTAAACCTTGTAATTCGTATGAGATGTTTTCATATGATCAAGATCACTTGACTTTGTTTAGTGAAGTGATTTTCCGATCGGAAATGGTAGTACCTTTCAAGCTATTTAACTAGAGCGGTTCATCGCCATATCAATGACTAGAGCAGGTGACAATTAATGATATCTCAATTGCCTTCAAATCAATTAGTTATCTCTCAAATGAGACAGGATTTTCTCCCAATGATTTGTCTAATGTTCATCATGACTGCATGATAATTTGTTTAAAAACATTTAATTTATTGACGTTACAAATGTTTATTTATAATTAGATTCGGTTAGATACCGATTGCTCGGAGTAAATTATTTTAATCATAGTCCTATCATTAATGAGAGCATTTGAAATGCTACATCAATGATATTATTATGTACTGCTTTAATTTACAGGTCAAATGTGAATTCATCTTCGGAAAATTAATCGCAATTATTGTTTGGAGATTAATAGACAAGAATAGTTGACATGAAATTAGGTTATAATTTTGTGGAGTTACATTACATTTATTATTAGAGCTTGAGCTTCGACGGAATTGTAATCAGAATAATTATTAACATTGATTAGTATTTTTTTAACTTTGTTTTCAGTTAACATAAAAAGGTTCATAATCAGTACAAATATCGGTTGAAATCGCTGGTTGATTCAATCTAATTACATCTAAATATTAATAATGTTTGGAGGGAATGATTAAAACAGAAAGGTAAATCAAAAAATAAATTTAAAAGCAACCTTGCAACGCATTAGCATAGAAAATAATAATTGATTAATGATTATCAGTTAATTCAAGCAAATTGACCAAAAAAACACACAGCCACACACAAATACATAGCGAAAACTGTTTTTTTCATTTCAATGCCAGAAAGATTGACGTAAGCTTTTAATTTAAGTATTTAATCCAAATAATCAAATGAAAGCGACAATGCCAAGACTGATCACTCTGGGATTTATACTTAAAGTTAAATGGTTACACTGAATTATTAACAGTTAAAATCGCTGTACAAGGCAATATGGTTAGTTTGTTTCATTAATTTTCATTCATTTTGCTTACCAATTCAATGGTAATGGTTAATTAAATTATTAAATCATCATCAATCATTATTGATGATTCCTTACTTTTTAGACTCAAAATTAATTTTAGTACAATCAAACAAAAACTTGACAATATTGTTGCAATCATTTTACGAAAAAACAATCGTTTTGTTTTCATGTACTTGAAATACAATACACTAAATTTAATATGAATATAAGTAAGATTAGTCCTTAATCAATTTCTATTGTCCACTGAACTGGTTCGGGTTTTCTCTTTCCTTAAATAGATTTGTCGACTAGATCGATTAGGATTTGAAATGTATTAATAATTGTTACAAATGGAACAATTGACTATAATATTTAGTGTTGTTAATTTTGAGTTGTTCATTCAGCAAATCGTCATTTATACCCTTCGATAAGGATGATAGCTTGTAATCGATGCAGATTGTTTCAAATAACTGGGCCCTGTATGTGATTGATTGGTTGAGTTGTGATGGTTTCCAATTGATTGACTATTGTTACCAGAGTTACGAATAACCAATTCATTTGCATTACATCCGTAGACGCGAGTGGGTGTAAAGTTTGAAACATCCCGATTATAATCACAAGCTAAATGGAAAAAATAATAATGTGGAATCAGCAAATTGAATGTAAAAGTACAACTATTTCAACTTACTTGATTGACATTGCTGTTTCGCTCGAATTACCAATCCATTTGTTTGTCCATTACCTGAAAACTTTGCATTAATTAATAAATCAAGTATTCACAGAAAATTTCAGTACAAAATCATCATCATTGAAATTCTCATCGAAATATCGAAGCATGGCAAAAGTTTCGAACGTAGTTTGATCTTGGTAGTTAAAATAAACAAGACTTGCATAAAAGTGATTCAAACTGATAAAGACATAACGGAATCATTTTCAACATATTTCATGGAAATGTCTAGAGAAAATTTCTTGAGCTAATTTTCACCTCTAATGGGGTTGCAGGAAAATATTTTTGTAACGATTGTTTATAGTTTTTATATTTGATCAATATGAGCTATGTTATTCAATGATGATGCTATATCCGATTCAATATTGCTTTGATGTTTATTACCTGTTCCATGGTTATTCGATGAAATTAAACAATTTTCAGACGTTGAGTTAGGCGTTGCAGAGATTTGCGATGTTGTCTGTAAATTAGTATTATTTTGAGTAGATGAGTGATTTGATGGTTGAGCATTTAAACACGAGCCCGTTTGTTGACTAGAGCCAATTGTTACTGCCGGCAAGTTAATTGATGCAGTAATATTGGAGGGACTCAGATCAGGACTGATTGGAGCACCAGGTAAATAACTAGAGTAGCCAACAGGATAACTTGAGCCTGCTAATAAAGTTAATAAAATTTCATGAGTGCTCAGGTAGTGGAATGGTCTAATCAAATTGACTAACCATAAAGTGGATAAGGTTGATTAGGCCAAAGACCATGTGGTACCGCATTTAAACCGGGTCCTTGGTATGAATAACCTGATGGGTGCCACGGAGAAAGAGGAGGTGGTGGATATGGTGATGGGGTTGGATAAAATGTGGTTGTATGTCCATTCCAGGCAGAAGAATGAGAAGTTGGTACAGGTCCTGGTGCTGCACTAGCACTTGGTATATTTGGTGATCCAAAATTTGGAATTGGAGCGGCAGTGGGAGATCCCAAAGACGCTGTCGGCCCATTTGTCAATCGATGACCAGTTGGTGTCTGTATCCAACCTGGCAATGGAGCCCACATTGAATAAGGTGATGGTGCCACAGTTTGAATCAAGCCAGCTCCTGGTAAACCAACTGATGGACTAACTTGTGGAGCATTACTCAGATTAACTGAACCCGAATTATTAACCACTGCAGCAGCTGCGGCTGCGGCTGCTGCTGCGGCCGCTGCTGCTAAACCACTGTGGTGTTGTGGAGGTGGTGGTAATGATCCAGGTAGGCCAGGCTGGTGTGGATGATGCGGCCACCAGGCAGCAGGTAAGACAGAGAGGCCATTCCCTAGATTTTCCAATTGAGTATTTATATTATTTCCATCTGTACCTAATTTAATTCCATTGAGTGATTTTTCTCGCGGTTCAGCACGTTTAACTTCAACCTAAACAATTGCAGAAACAAAAAAAAGAAAGATTATCGAAAATGTCAAAATGAACAGCGAAAAAGAGATAAATTACAAACTTAAATCAAGTCGGGATAAAATTAAAAACTAGATTAATAAAAAATGTGCATTATAAAGTAATACTCATAAAGGAAAGGAAACAAAATGGTTAACATCTAAAAACAAAGAAACTTAGAGCTTAAAAAAGTGTAAAATTAATGAATAACATTAACATTAATTCTTAATCACAGGCAAATTAACTCGGTTCATAATAACTTACTATAAAATGTATGTAATTAAAATAGATGAACAACAATCAAGCACAAGAAAAAATGAAACTGTTCAAGAAGACCGTTAAGACAATTGGAGGGAAATGAACAGCTGATTATGCTTAAACATAATGCTTTATGCTGATTCCCTGGCTTGAGAGTTGTTTCAATAATCGATAATCATAATTGAAAAACAAGAAAAACAAATTAAATAAAACAAATATCAATAATAATTGTGCTTTGGGTGCAAATTAAAGAAAAAAAATAATAACAATTAAAATATAATAGGTAAATGTGATTGATTAGGTAAATAAAAGCCTAACCTTTTTACCGCTGATGACCACAAAATGTTCATCGACTACTTTGTTAACTGCTTTTTCATCTTCAAAAGACAAGAAACCAAAGCCTAATTTGATCCAAATCGCACCGTTAATTTAAACAATTAAGTATTTTTGATAAACAATGTAAATACATATGAATAAAGGGAGAGGGTAAACAAGGCAATCAGTTAACAATCACGCAATTAAAATATACATATTTTATATACAGTAAAATATAAGAAAAGTCAAAGGTGTAGTCAATTAATTTTACTAGGTTAAACAAGTAATTAATTTACCCAATTAATTGATTAAAATTTACACTAGAAAAGCCTTTAAAAGTTAATCAATTTTAATGTTCAAAATCTCAACCATTAATCAATATTGGTATAAAATTAATTACTTGTAGCAATAGTTACGCTATTATTAATAGACATAAATTGTTATTAAAATAAGTTAATGTAACATTTAGCTTGACTTTACCAATGATAAAACTCAATTGTAATTTCAATCAACTTTGATTCAAAAAGGTTAAATGAAATCAATTTGTTGATTAAAGACTAGAATCTGAAGAAATCTTGAAAATTGCAATCTAATTGATTGATGAAAATATGATTAGACTGAAATTAAATAAACCAGTTAAACTAAACTCTGATTGAATCACCGCAGCAATGATGAAAAAATCAATAATTGAAGTCAATTGAAATCTATCTGAAAGCGCTTATCCTAATGTTTAATGGTTACAATTAAGTGTGATCTGAAATAATCAGTTACCTCTGAATCCATTTCCACGAGTTTTCTTTCGTTCCTGATCATACATGATAACAACCTCGACAACCTGTAATTAACAAAATTAATAAAAACATCATTAGTAATTGAATTGTATTTCAAGTGAAAGGCAAAAAAGGATAACTCAATAAGGAAACATTTAATTCAGTTTTGTCATGAAATGAGATCAAAAGTGATAGGAACATCAATAAACAAGAAACATTAACAAGATGAGATGATTGTGAAGATGACAATGTCTTTCAATGGACTTTTTTCAACCAGAAAATTTGATTAAAAACAGATGAAAAAAGGAAAAAGTTCAGTCTGAATTTACTGTTGATGTTACACTTTAAATTTTATCGTAACAGTCATTATTTTGAATTATTTAGAGTTGACAGAATTGTTTCTTCTTGTTCCTCTCATCGCCATTAATAACAACAATCGAGTTAACAATTTAATCATCATTTGTAGTCAATAGTAACTGAGGCCTGATTCAATCTTATGATTGATTCAATGGCTTGTAAATGTTAAATGATGTCTTCAGTCTTTTGTCAACCGATTCATGAGTTAGCTTCAAGTCTTTCAATTTTTCAGTCAATTCTTCATGTTCAATGATTTCTTCAATCAAATGGCATTTTTTACAGCAAAAAATGGTTTTTAAATTTAATTTTCAAGAGACAATCAAATTCTGTCTTTAAATTGCTCCATTTCCACCGTTATTACACTCTCACTGACATATGATATTGAATGTTTAAAAGCCTGTCATATCAATCAAAAGTCCATGAATGTTGAGCATTAATCTTTATCCTTTTCAAAGTGACCGGATGAAAGGTAGTTGGTAATCTTAAGCTTATTTCCTGAGATGGTCAACATATTCACTATGATAATGGTGATCAAATTACCTGAAAAGCTAATGTCAACAGTTACAGAGATTAATGATAAAAGTCAGACACTTATAAACAAGAGCAACATTGGTTAAAGCTTGAAACTCTTTATCTAAATAATTCAATTGGTCATAATGTTAAACCTTTATGACATTTATGATGGTCAATTAGTGAGTTTGATTATTGACAATCAAAAGACAACAAAAATCAACATTTTTATCAAAGGCAGAAACCGGTAAAAATGAACCGTTAACCCAACAAATGAAATGTGAAAAATTTAATTTCCCTTTTATTGGGTGGAACTGGTTTAACTCAATTATTTTGACATTACAATAATCATAATGTTCAACCACAATAAGTATAATCATAACACTAATAATAATAGGATGAGAAGCAAAAAATTGAACCCAAAAAACACAAAATAATATATTAATAATCAATGAGTTTGACTGCAATTGACTGACCAAGCTTATTGCTTTTGTTTTTGTTTTAACATTATTAATCCCAATTGGACGATATTTTTTTCAAGTGGATTTACAGATTAATGGATTAAATGGTGTTTCCCTTTAAGGTTGAGCTTGGTGAGCTTGAAATGTTGAATCAAATTTTCAAATGAAACATTTGATTGATTGAGATAAATTAACCCAAAGGTTAACCAGTAAAGTCTAGAGTTGAGGCAATCAATAAACTCCTCTGGTTAGCCATTAATTTCAATGTTAATCAAAGTTTCAACTGTAACCAGTAAAAATAGTCAATTTATTAAGGTCTAATTATAATTACTTGGATTGTTGTTGTTGTTTTCATTGTAATATAAAGGTAAACTCAAGTGTTGATAATATTTTTGTGGAATGTTTCCATGGAAACTTGAATAACTTTTGTTATCACCCAAAGTATATAAATTATCATAATGAAATGCTAACAAAAGGTAGACCAGAAAAAAAAGTCAAATCAAATTGATAAGTCAAATGATTGTTGTATTAAAGGTTAAAGTTACACTTTTTGTTCAGACCAGTAAACACTCAATTAATAATCAATGGAGGACTCAAAACCATTTCAACTGAATCAAGTAAAATTATCATTCAATTCTGATTGTTAAAAGTTCGAAAAAAATATCTTTCGATTTTCCATTTCACTCAAATCGATACATTTCTTGTGGACAAATAACGCGATAAAAACATTCATAATGACCCTTAAATCATCTAAATTTTAAATTGCTGGAAAACTGGACTTGATTGAATGAGATTGAATCGTTCCTTTACAATGGATTGTCAAACTTCAGTTGGTATTTCTGATCAAACCATGAAATTTTGATTCTTTAGAATTGCAAGAAAATGAATTTGTATCTAAAAAATAATTGAAACCTAAAATTAAGGTTTTGGGTAAAAATTCTGGTTCGCTATTTTTAGGTTTCCATTTTTTGGGTTTTCATATTTTGGTGAACCTTTGGTTTGACTTTTGATGTTGAATTTTACAATTATTTTAAAATGTTAATAAACTGTCAACAATTTAACGGAATATTGAACAGTAATGAATGGAAATGTTTAGGTTGACAAAAGATGAATTGAAAAAAGGTTGTTTGTTGATTTGTCAATTTTTGTCATTATTAGTACCAAAGTTTCAATGCAAGTGTCAACATTGACTGATATAACAATAAGGGAATATCAATTGATGTGGTTAAAGAAAGAGACCAACAAATCAATCAAATTAACCACAATACAAACTTGATCATCTTTGTTAATCTTGTAATGAAAGACACAAAATTGGTGGACAACAGCGAAAGGTTATAACACCTATTCATTGTATTGGGTTGTATTGAAAAATTGTTTTCTGTTTTCTTGTTTCATTGTATTCAATTGTAATTAGTTGGTCAACTTGTTATTCAACTCACCTTTCCATATTTACTGAAAAATTGCCTTAGGACGGTTTCATTGACATCAGAAGGCAAACCACCGAGAAATATTTTTGGATAGTTTAACATTTTTGCATCTCGTTTCCCTTTCTGAGCACTTTTTGGGTTACATGATTTAGGATCGATCTGAAGATGAAATTAAAATTGATTTGTTATTAAAAAGAGAGAAAAGACAGAAATGATTAAATTGAATAAGATTACCGTTCTTTCGTCCAAATGGTGAGGACCAGCATTTAAAACTGTTTGGACGCAATTGGGATCTTTGAAGGTAACAAAGCCGAATCCTCTTGATCGACCAGTTTCAGGATTTTTCATTACAACACAATCAGCAATTTCACCAAATTGAATGAAATAATCATTGAGTTTCTCTGAAATTCAAATGGAATCAGAAGTCAATGAGAGGAAGATCAAGTGTCGACCTTTAATCTTCAGAGTGATTTAAGGTTAAAAGAAGAAGGAATTTCTTTTTTTCAAATTTCGCATCTAAGCTGAATTTTCAGCTTCTTTTTGGCCTTTTTTAGATGAATGTTTGAAACTTGAAAAATAGATTCTGAAATAATTTGGGAACAGTTAAGCCTTTTGTTACCTTTAGTTGTTTCCCAGCTCAATCCACCAACAAAGAGTTTACTGATGAAAGACAAAAGACAAATTATCATTGATTAATTAACTGGTGATAGTGAAGAACCTGTTAAGGTTAAATTGTTTACTTGATCAACATTGCAATTAGTTGGGGTTGATAATGAGAAAAGAGGGAAAAAATGTTGATCCAAAATTCATGTTCATTTCAAGAGTATTTTCATGATAAAGATTCCATGTTTTATTGGGTGTTTGTTGTTGTTGATGTTATGAAAGATGGTAAAGAATGGTGATAATAAAAAGTAATGAATTGATGTTTAAGATTAGATAATGGATGATGATGACAAGAGGCAAGATGATGATGATAATGATAATGATGATGGTGGGAAACATGAAAAGGTGACAATGAATTGGAGAAGAGTAGATAATGATGAGCAAGATGAATGAATATCTTTTAATAAAAGAATGTAGGAAAATCAATTGAATCATTTTCCTGGAGCAGATAATCATGAAAATGGTCTTGATTGAGATGAACTAATTGTTGGTGGAAAAGGGTGAAAAAAATGAATTCTTAACTTACCCAACTTCTTCTTCAGTATCTTGGGTCATTTTTACTTTTGATTTACTGTTGTTTCTGGTTTCACTTGGTTACTTCAATGTGTTTTAATTTAAGGTATACAATGGGATGGATTGGAGTTACAAAAAGGCCAATTTGGAAGGAATACGAAGATTAAGATTAGGATTTTAATCAATTAATTGGTTAAAGTGGGTAAATTGTAAATGTTAAATTATAAAAGTTGGTAACATCTTTTTTTCACTGGCAAACATCTGGGTTGAGTAAAACTTTTACTTGGTTAACGGTGAGGTTACGATGGATTGGGTTGGTTTCAAGTGACATTTCAGACGGAATTGTTGGGAAAAGGTCAAGAATCGATTAAGGAATAATCAAGGAATGATTAAGAAATGGTTAAGAGATGAAACCAGGAAAAAACAGCAACAATTAAGAGACAGTGAATCGTCTAAATGCATAGCCATGGTTTGATTGCAGGTTGACTTTGACTGATCAATGGCATTGCTGGTGTCCTAAGTTGGTGACTGGCCGTTTATCATTGTAACCACACTGACACAGACAATTAACTGTTGTTTAACTGTTAATCAAGTAAATTAATGTATCCACTGACTAGGAAATAAATTCATTGTAAAAAGATAAATAGAGTTAACTTTAAGATTGAAGATTGACAATGGTCAAGTTGTATTTGGCTTTACAAAAAAAAGGTTGAGTGTGTGTATCTATGTGTCTATGTCAACCGTTGTTGGGAAGATGGAAAACATTTGAAGAGGGAATTTTAAGATCGATGAAAGAGTGAAAAAGAAAGGCGAAGATAAAAGAGTCGACTCATGGGGGTAGAAAGAAGAATAAATATCATCATCATTATCTTCATTTTCATCATCACTCTCTGATCAGGCCTGCGTTCAGCTTTGCCTGAGTAAAAAGTCCTAGATTGTTTCTGTCTTTACTCTCAATGTTAGTGGTAGAGCAACCATTTCCTGGCGCAAGAGAGAAACAAGAAAGGCAGCAGAAATGATGAAGATGGAAATCGATTTTCAGCCATTGAATTTCCACTGCCTTTATTATCATCATTATCATTACCATTTGTTCCAAGAGTCTTCATGTCATCATCCTCTTACCACTGTTGCACTAATGCCTTGTATTTCAACTTCAGTAGTTGAGCTAGTTCAGTAGTTGCATTTCCTTTCCTTTCTTCCTCTTCATCTTACTATTTATCTTCATTTTATTTCTCATTCTCCTTCCTCTTCATCGAAGTTCACTCTTATTTCACCCTGAAAACAACCTCACATTTGGTACTCTACAATTGATTTCACCTCCTTCTAACCGTCAACATTTACCCATCTTACCAACACCCTTCAACATTCACAATTTAACTTTAATGGTTCCTAGTTTTATCCCAAAAAAGGGTTTGCCCATTTTGTTATCAATTTAAAGCTTGCAATCTCAACTTTCATCTTCATCTTCATCACCCTGATTTGGCTTTTATCTCATAAAATATATATAATTTCAATAAATTGATTGGTTAGTTGTAGCTTTCAAGTTTCATTTTTCTGGTTATTGGGTTCAAAACATTTGTACACTCTTTTGATATACAGTTACATGTATCAAATTGTTTGGACTCTTTTTGATGATTGTTGATTTTAAATCTTGAAATCGGTCAGAAAAAATCAAATCAAATTTCTTGGGTTTCATTTCTCAATCATTTCATTCTTTTCATGTCATATTTTCATGTTTAAATTTGGTTACTTCATTTTTAAAGGCCTTTTTGATTCACCAATTTTACTTTTACTTTGTATCTTTTGGTTTAATTTTAGTTTATTTAATTGTACATTTCATTTATTCACATTTGATTTGGATAGGAACAGTTGAATTGATTGTCAAGTTAAACATTTTGCTGTTTAAACAATGCATTTCGCTTTGATCAAGTTTTCATTGTAATTGATTTGGTGATTCAGTGAATGGTGAGCTGAAGGTTTCAAATAACTTGGTTACAATCAATAAAGCAAACAAATACATTAATCAAAATGGCTAATAAATCCTTTAATCATTATCATCATATTTTGCGTCACTTTTTAGCTCTGTAATTTAATATCATAAGTGGTCTAAATCATTACTATCAAGTTTGAATTACACATTGAACAATAAACAGAAACACCTTTGTAAACAGATAATTTAAGTACACGTTTTGCACAAATCAATCAAAACATCCTCAAAACACTCAAATATTTGAAAAATGAAAACCCAATATTAAATTTAAACTGGTGTCTATCAGCGCCAATGAATATTTGATATCAAAGCAATGATTTTAATTTTAATCATCTCATAAAGCTTCATTAACATAAATTCCGAGTTCAATAAATCGCTGATTCCTTTCAGACTTAATTTTATGATTAAGTTTGATTTTGCTTTTGCATTGAATTTTTACTTACATTTGCATATATTGATGTAAATATTAAGTCCATTTAATTAAACTGTTAATCTAATCAGCTTTCAACATTGAAAATATATTTGATCATGATTGGTCAAAATGTGATCAATATAATAAACAGGCTTCAGTAAAGATCCTAGAATTGGCATTTTGTGAAATCTCCATGTTAATCAAATTATCGATTTGCATCAACAATATTGATTTATTTTGTTCCTTGAACATATTATTGTTGAAATTCAACCATCATCAGTTACGAGCTAATTAATATTGATTAAATGGTTAAGAAAATGAACTGCATTTAGGATGAATAGAAGTAATTAGATGAGTCCGTTCGCTTTTGATGTTTTCTTGAAATGTATTTTTACAATAGAGAAATTTGGAAAGTTGAACTTTGATTCGTTTGATGACATTTAATTTAGCTGAACATTTTTTCCAACATTTGTAGATATCATAATCAAACCTGATAGAATTTTTAACTTCTCAAGGTATTTACATATTTAGTAAATTTTATTGGATATTTCTATTTTTTTGCCTCGGGCTGAGGTTCTGCGACTACAGTTCCTGCTACTAAAGGAATCTCTTCAGCTGGTATTGCTATTGCTGGATTGGCTGGGAAAGTTTCCCAAGGAGTTTCCAAGTCAAATTTACGGAATTCTTGGGCTAATTCAAGTGGTTCTTCGATAATGCTACCCAATTCATCATCATAACGATACTAAAAAAGAAAATTAAAAAAAGATTGAAATTAATAATTGATATTTTAAAGATTTAAAATTAGAATCACAACAATATTTACCTCCGTGTAGCCAGTCAAAGGGAAGTCTCTCCTGAATGGATGTCCAACAAATCCATATTCAGTCAAGATACGTCTTAAATCTGGATGAGCATAGAAAAATACTCCAAACATGTCATGTACTTCTCGTTCATACCAGTTGGCACCCTCGAAGACCTCACAACACGAATCAATTGGTGTCATTTCATCTGTGTAAGTCTTAACCCTGACTCTCGAGTTGAAATTTAACGATAACAGATTGTAAATGATCTCAAATCTGTATGCTCTTGAAGGTACATCCATACCACCAATATCAGCAATACTTGTGAATTGACAATTGTGATGTCCTTGTAAGAAAGCAAGAACCGGAACAACTCCTTCAGGAGCAATCATAATTTCCAATTCATCGACATGAGTAACTTGAATCTTCTGAATGAATTTAGGCAAGCATTCAGCACAATAACGACCAAAGTCAATTAATTTAGCTCTCTTTTCAGGATCTCGCAACCCAGTAGAAGTAACAGATTTTTCCTGAGTAGCTTCTTTTGCAGTAGCAGCAGTAGACAAAATTCGAGCTGGGACATTGAAACAGTTAAAACCTAGAAGACGGATAAAAGATTAAACAAAAGGGTTACACACGGCAAGACAAGTTATCACAGAGATAAGAGTGAGAAAATTCACCAAGGAGAAGGTCAAATATCTGAACAAATGAATTCAATAATAATGTGAATTAATTATTACTTACCAATCTTAGGCCTCAATGAAGACTTAGCAGTGTTGTTCAACACTCTAAATAGCTGTTTTAAATGAGACATTTCCAATAAAATTACAGGTTAAATTGTTTGAATTAAAAAATAAACAAATCAACTCAAAAACAAAATTTCCAGCTGATTTCCAACAACCAAAACAGCCATCTATTGAACAAAATAGAAAGCTAAATAAATTTTCTTGAATTGCAACAATTAACCGTTTTAATTAAACAGAAAGTAATTCAAAAATTCAAATCACAATCTTGACAAAAATTAAATTAACAAACAAACGCTCAAACCAACCGAATCAACACTTTATCCCAATCGACAAGTGCTGTTGAGCGATCAAATATAAGACTCAAAGGCTTTAATTATTTGCTAATATTGACTCTAAACAAAATCAATCGAAGACCAAATGTCGATGAAAGCTTTAACGAAGGAAAAATTTCGCTTTAAAATTTTTAACTGATAATAATTTATTATCAGTAAATTTTTACTAAATCAACACTTTAAATATTTCATGATTAAAGGATTAACTTGCAATTAAGTACTTTAGAGGGAAATTTGAAGATTTAAATCTATCGACTCTGGATTACACTTTAAAACGTAAATAATTAGTCGAGTTGTTTGTGATATAAAAGGTTAGTAAATATTAGTTAACGTAAATTATTGGAGATAACAATTAAAGCTGATAAGAATTGAATGTAAGCATTTAATATTATCAACACTAGATGTCATCTGTGACTATTATTTACCGTTTTTTTTCTTTTTCTTTAAATAATTAGTGCGATAATTAAATTTGTTTTTAAGTTGTTTTTGATTATTTAACTTGGGTTACTTTTTGATCTGTGTTGCCAATTGATTCTAAATCAATGGTTGAAGCCAACTTTAACCTGGTTCATCGTGGTCAACATCCTAATCAACCACATTATGGATATTAAAGTGGGTGCAATTTTGTCTACACTCTTTAGTGTAAAACAACTGCAGCAACAACCTCACCAACCAAGCATCTTTAACTTTAACCCAAAGGAAACTAACAATGTTACTATCAAAATGTTGATCAGTAGAGAAGGAGAACAAGATGAGGAAGATGAAGATAATGATGATGATGATGAAGAAAAAGTAAGAGAGGAAGGAGAAGAAGCAGGAGAAGAAGCAGAAAAAAGAAGATCCTGAAGATCAAGAAAGAAGAAACAAAAACAAGTAAAATAACTTTTGGCAATTTTTGGCCTCTACTAAGACCTTTCCCTAGTAGATGAAATAATCTCTATCATACACAACAAACACACACATATAAAACTCTCTCCTTTCTCTCTCCCCCTTTTTCTGCATTTTATATTTACTTTCTCCCTCTCTCTGAAATTTCCTCTCTTTTTCTCTTTCTCTACTCAGTTTCATGTCAAACCTGTTGATATAACCCGATTGCCCTAGCGGCCTCGTGGTACATTTTTATCCAATGCTTTTTATTATTATTATTTTCAACTATTAACCTTGATGTTATTTTTTTGTCTCTCTCTCTTTCTCCCCGCTCAACATTCATATAACCTGCAATTCGGTAATCAACTGGCTCACAATTTTGTATCAAATTGCTCATTGGACTCGTCTCTTGCTCTCATATGGGACTCGAATCAATCTTAACTGGATCTTATCTCGATCTTAACTTCGTTGCAACTTTGTCTTATCTCACTCTCTTGACCCGGTCTTAATTGGATCTTGAAACGGTTACAATTTGGTTTCAACACGGTTTTAACTGGACGTTAACTTGGTTTATATATCTCTTGTCTTGGTCTTGATTTCATTTACATTTGGTCTATATTTGGTATAACCCAACTTGGGTATAAATTTGGTAACTCATCCTGGTAAACTCAACTCTTGATAACCAACTCTTTAACTTGGTGTATTTGCGTGTCCAATACTCAACCAGAGAGGCGAAGGCGAAAGCGAGGAGGAAGAAGAAGAAGGTGAAGGTGAAAGGAAAACAAGGCAAAGAATTGAATAAACTTGTGGTGAACAAAACTCAATCAACTGCAGCAACATCATCACCATAAACCATCTTCAAAGCCATCATCATCACCATTGGAACAGCAAACAAAAACACACTTTTCCCCTCCTCATGCACACATATACGAATCAATGTCATCACCATCATTCAGGTATGATTTTAATCAAACTTCCACTATATCTTTCTCTCTCTCTCTCTTTCTCTATTTTCACCTTTCTATTTCTCATTCCCTTTCCCTTTCCATCTTCATTAAACTGTACAATCCTCTTAGACTTAATTTTTTGTTCCCATTTTATTTAACACACTTGAAACCATCAAATGAAGTAACAAACACGTCTATTTATTTATTTACTTAATTTGTATTTAATTACTTGTCATCAATATTTACTTATACAAAATGTGCGATTCAGTGAGCAAGTTATTCAGTGTGTTTCTGTGTATGTGTGTCTGTATGGCGTTATGCGATCAACAAGCAGCAAAAAATATGAAACATTTTGTAATAACCAGTTAAGAGTTAATAACATTTGAGGTTTACCTTATTTTCATGTCAAAAACATTCACCATTATTATAATTTTCGCCTTTCTCATGCTCTTTCTTTTTCTGTTTGCATTCATGATAATAACCTTGAATACAGAAGCTCAGGAAAATAGCAATGAAAAAGAGTTTACGGCTTTTTTTCGTCTAATCTTTTTCTTCCTTTTGGCAGACGCATTTGACAAAAAAAAACCACAGAGCTGTTTGTCTGTAAGATGCTGGGTGATGTTGTTGTTTTGGTGCACAAGGACAACTTTATTTGTATTGATTATTTAACAGTTAAACAAGCTTTTTCCTCTTTTTTGCTTCACTTTGTAGTTCATAATTTTTTTTTCAAAGTCAACAAACTTTCACTTGAAGAGCGAGTTAAGTCAATCAGTGAGTTACTTTGCCTCCTTTGGATTACTTCCAATCCTTTTACTTCAAGGCAAACCATGTTGATTGTTGATGATAATGATGATAATGATGGGTGTGAGAGAGAGAGGAAAGGGAGAAGAGCAACTTTTTGGCCTCTCAAAATAGCTTCATGTGTGTATGTGTTTATACATTGAGCTATTCCGTTGTGTTCCGTGTATACTTCTGGATGTGTATTTTGAAGATAACAGTTATGTAGATGGTGTACAATATGCTGTACTTTCAAGTGCAGTTGATTTCTGAATGATTAGTGAAGAGAGGATGAAGATGATGGTGATGATGATGGAGGAGGAGGGAGAGAGAGAGTGAGTGTCAACTTGATGTTACAAAGTTAGTTTTTCAGAAGAAGCAAGAAAAGGAAAAGGAAATGCATCTTAACTGTGTCCTTGGATTTCAATCAAAGAAGGGGCAAGAAAATGCATTTACTGAGAGGATTGTTTCAAAAATTGTTGTTGTTTCGTCTTGATAATCATCCAAGGGACTGTTGTTATTACTGTTGTTTTTGCTTCTCTCCGTTTTTGTGGGAACCATTTTTTTTGGCCACAAACAAAAATTTTAAGCAAAAAAAAAGAATCAACTTTTCCTCTCTTTTCCTTCTCTCTCTCATCAACAACGTGCATGGGAAAAGGAAGGGTTGTGAAGAGAGAGAAAAGTGCATTGAACGTTACCTGTACCCTTTGGTCAGTTAGTGCTGGTCACTTGATCAGAGGTTAAGGGGCACAGAGGCTCATTGAAGTATGCTTAAAGGGAAAACACGTTGCAAAGACCAACCAACCTTATTTGGTGAATAGAGTAAAAAAGGGCTTGGATAATGGCGAAAAGAGGTTTTTTTACTCGTTGGAATTTTTTCTCTCTTCTCTTCTTCTTCTCTCTCACTCTTCGTTAAAACTCTATGTTATCATCATCCTCATCCTCATCAGTGTCTTTTCCCTTTACTTTTTTAACCTTATCTCAACATTTTACTTTTTGACTTTCCTTTCCTTTTTTGGACCTTTTTTCCACTTTACTCTTTACATTCCTTTTTCATCATCATCCATTTTATCCTAATTAACTTCACGGTCGATGAACTTCGTACTTTTACTTGTGAACATCTTCGAAGTCCGAACAAGTCCCATTACAAAGTTGACTTGTAATCATCTTGAGGTCATTTCAATGTTAAAAATTGACAACAGGGGGAGCCAAAGTCTCCAATGATGAGGATGAAAAGTTGAAATGATAATGTTGAAGGAATACAGAAAATAAGACGCAAAAGAAGAGAAAAAGAGAGAAAAAAATATGATGAAGAAGCGTGCAAATCACGTAATATACAAGAAGAAGATAAGCGAAAGAAAAGATAAAAGAAAAGAAGAGAAAAAAAACTTTTTCTTTCAATTCAATTCTCTAACACTTCTTTGACTTTTACATTGAAATATCATATAAAAGTCCATTCTTCCTCTTCCCTCCACAGAAACACACACACAGGTCAGCACATCTAAGACTCTGTTTCACCTTTCATTTCCTTTTCTCACTTTACTGCCTGCTGGACACAGACAGGGCCATTTTGTACACAGTCTGGTGAAAAAAAAGGAGGCCCAATAACTTTCCCTTTCATCATGTTTGTTAATATTATATTATATCAATATATTTTATTATAAACCACTCTCTGCCTACAGAAACCAAATGAAAGGGAGAGAAGAAGAAGATAAAGAAGATGAGAAGATGGAGAAGATTAATAAAGAAGAAGTAAGATGAAAAATAAGAAAAGAAAGGGCAGAAGAGAAAGTTGTTTGATGATAAAAAAACTGGTAAAAGAAGGCCAAGGCAGCTTAGTCTTTGTTTCCTACTATCATCTAACTTTGATTGTAAAAGTGTAAACATGAAGTTGGCCAGCAAAAGCGGGTCAAAGGGAGTTAGCCC